AGATCTCCTCTGTACCAGGCACTGTGCTAGGTTCTGGGTCTCTGCTTCTGGTATTTCATTTTGACTTTATCACTGAGAGAAGCATGCAATTATGTAATGTCTATTTGAAAGGTCAATTGTAATCAGAGAAATATCAGGCAAAAGGCTAGATGTTATAATTGAACAGGTATTTGCAAAATGATAACATTTCAGGTGAGGAATAATTTCTGCATAAAAACCACCACCCCCTTGGACCACCTGGGGCAGGCTAGTCTTCAAGGCTTCTTTCCAGATCTATAAAGCTAAACACTTAATAGCCTGATTTATTTATTAGCATGCCCAGGGGATTAGGAAAGCAGGATAGTCCTAGGCATTTGTGAGAAGGGGTCCTAAAAGAACATCTTTATGATAATTTTCTTGATATCCATTTTCATGTCTCCCAAAGTAATTTCTCCTACTTTTTTGAGTTTTAGATTGTGCCATTCAAATTCTACTTATTCTCTCCAAATTGAGAAGGCTCAGATACGTTTACTTGCTTTGAGCTCTTAAGATCTATTCTAAATTATGTTTATATTTATTTTCCTGGAATTTGCATCTTGGTCTGCATATTTGTTTTACCAAGATGGTCAGAAGAAAGTATACTATTTCTACCATAGTCTTATCAAGGTCATTGAAAGGTAATTATTATCTTGTGATAATTTCCAAGACCATGATCTGTTCCTTTTCCAAGCTTTCCCTTTTTTAAAGCTTAAAAAACAATATATTCTTAGGTTCTGTAGATAAGAAAACAGATCATGTTAGAGTAGCAATGAAAGAGAAGATCTAGACCCAGACTGTCTGATCTGTCTTCCTGTTCAGCTCTGCCGCTAACCTAGTTGGGCAAGCTACTCAACATTTATGTGGGCTTTGCTACCTCATCAGGGTAGTGGACAGCATGGGCTACATGATGCCGAGTCAGTTCACTGGGCACTGAATTTGGCACGAAGGTGACTGAGTACAACTCTCCTCATGCCTCACATCATTCTAACATCTGATGAAATTTTATTGCTTTCTTATGTCTCAAACCTCTACCTATCTGATAATTATTTCTACCACATGTGTACTTAGCCTCTTATTTTTTTTTTCCTTTTAATATTCATTGTTTGCATTTGATCCTGAGTGAGATTTTGCAGCCCTATCAAAATTGTAAGTAGCTGAGAATTACATAATTCTTCCCAGTTTTACCCAGTTGTCTCCCAAACCTGTTCAGTAGAGTCATATTGCACAGAGTTGCTTCTGGTTTTTACTTCCCATGGCTTAATTCCATTTCTCATTCTTTAAATCTGTCACTATAACCCAACCTAGAATTCTGCAAGCTAAGACAACATTTTATACATTATTTAAAATTTTACAAAATATACTTGATAGGAATTTATAATTTAAAGTCAGCATTGAACCAAAGCCAACTCTAAAATCTCTTGGGAGGAGGACTCAAAATAGAAGACAGATTGAACCTTAATCTCAATTTTCTTCTTTCTTTTTTTCCTTCCTCTCTCTCTTCTTTCTCTGCTTCTCTTTCTTCCCTCCCTTCATCTTTTCTTTTCTTTCTTTTAAATTGCAAACTGAATTGCAAAACCTAAGGATGTAACTGGCACTAGAACCAACATTAATTTTGTATGTATATTAATTTTACATGTATGCAACATATTTTCTGGGAAAGAAGACAAGTGGGGCATTAAGACACTGGTCCTCTCGGAGCTCTGCTTACCCCCTACCTAGGTAATATGTGGCTTAGATAAGGCTGCTTTATCACCTTTCCTTCTATTACTCTACTTTGCTGATACTTCAGCCTTCGTTCTACTCTGTAACCTGGCTCCATTGTTCCCCTAGGTCATTAATTCATAACATTGTCTAGATTTGTTTTCTTGATTTTTTAGTGTGTGAAATTAATGCAAACATTTTTTACCTATACTAATTTCTCATAAAAAAGAGGAGAAAGAGAAGGACAAAGAAGAAAAAGGAAAAGGACAAGAAAGATTACTCTCAGCACCATTCCCTTAATATTTACTCAATTTTTATAATATGGAATTAAAATTATATTTTTCCATATTTCAAACTCATTCTTCTTTCTCTTTCTTGAGAAAACCTGGCAGCATATATCACTTTTCATTTTTATTTGCTTTTAAAAGCTGCTGATCTCCTCAGTACCCTAGGATACCAGTGTGATGATCTCTTACTGGTTCTTTAGAGACAGATACTCACAATATCCCTGTGGTTACATGGAAATAAACATTCGCCCCAGTCTGTAAGGGCTTACCAAAACAAGCAGCTCCGAATCCAACTAAAGTAGCAAAGTGCTGGCAAGACTATAAGGCAAATGAGTCAGAAGTAAAAGCTATCATTAAAACTGTAGGGGTCCCTTTAGAATTAAAATGGGGGGGGGATTTGGAGTAATACAGAAATGCTAATTTATGCAGCACAGAACGATGTAAATTCGTGACAGGGCAGACGTGGCTTCCTGGCGCTCATGTAAGCAGTTTAGGAACATTAGCTGACAGTGGTATTAATAGGAGTCAAATTAAGTGGCTATTATAACCTCAAAACCATCTTAATCTTCAATAATAGATGTGTAATATCGTCCACGGACAAAGCAATGGCCCTGCATGCCTCTGCTTTGATCAGACTACACCTAGAATACTGTGTTCAGTTCTGGTCACCTCCATCTGAGGTAGAAATGGACACCCTGCAATGTTCATAGGAGACAAGAGTGAGAGAGCCACAGTGGTGAGGGAGGGGGATAATACACCTGGAGAAAAACAGACTAACGAGAAATAGAAGGAAGGACTGTCACACGGAGGAGGCAGTTTTGTGTTAAATAGTGCCAAATATATCAGAGCCTGAATCAATGAGAAGGACACTTAGTGAAATGAAGAATTTTTAAAGTCAGAGTTGTTTACAGTGGAATAAGCAAGCTGGGAATTAGGGAATTTCTGTCATTAAGGCATCTGGGCAAAAGACCTCCTCAGAGAGGACTTTATAGAAGTGACTCTAGCATAGATGGCTGAAGTGACCTTTTAGGAACTCCTCCCAACATTAAATTCTACAACATTATGAAACCAATAGACATTTGATTCTCATAGCCTGTGGGCACACCCATAAGGCAAGTGCCAAAAAGTTTAAAGAAAGATGAATAAAATGAGAATTAAAATTTGTTTATTAATTTCAAACTCCCAAGCTGAGATAAATCCATAAGAAATCACTGTCATTTCTAGTTAAATGGCTAGATGAATTATCTTCAAATGAAACAATTCAAAATTTCTCCTTTTTTGGGAAATTGTTTGCCTATTCATGTATATAAAGCTGTTATATACTCCATTCAAACTTGGCCTCTTATCACTGCAACTATTTTGGATATTCTGTCCAAAACTAGCAAATTTTTAGGTCTGTGATTGTCATATTTCACAAAATTGCATTTGAAAATATACTTTTGACATGTTTTGTGTGCGTACACATCTATGTGAGAACATTTTCCTTCTGTCTTCTGCACATAAGAAATTACTCAGCAAACTTTACATAAGAAGGCCTTCAAATATAATATGACAGCAAGGCATATTATTCTTAAAGGCCTAAAGATGATACAAACATCCAATTGGGGATTAAACAAGTAAATATATAGCTGATGATTTAGACAAAAGGAAAGAAAAATGAGTAAAAACCTTTAACATTTATCAAAACAACATTTACGAACAATGAGACAGCTCTGTCCAGGTTCCTAAGTGACCACCAAGGCATTAGCTGTTCTAGGTATGCATTCTCCTGGCCAGATCGCACTTCCAGCAGGCACTCACTGGATGCCAAAAAAGTTAAAGGCACTCACTTTGGATTATGTAGGCTTCCCACTATTTTAGATGTTCATTTAAATTTGTGCAACTCAAAGGAGAAACCAATAATTAAAATAGGGAAAATTACCTAAGCACAGAGAAAGACTAACAACATTGAGTCTGATCTGTGAGAAAAATACATGAGAGGTGGCAAAATATAGATGTCATTTGGGAGAGTCAGGTGGTGTAAGAAAAAAACATAAATATACTAGAAATTCTACTATAAGTACGTATTGCATTACTCCAGCAAAACTCCAAAATTTGCCATCTTTACAATATTTATTCACTGTAAAAATGCTAATTTTCCAATGAAACTTTTAAAATATCATTCATTAGTATATCTATACATCATGAGCTGGGAAAATATTGATTTTTTAAATAAGGCAGAAAACAAGTAGTTTCTTTTAAGCAAATGAAGTACAGCTACAAGAATTTATATTTTGATCTCTTTCATGAAATCAATATTGAAAATTTATATTCTTTTCTTTTTTTTTTTTAAAGATTTTATTCATTTATTTGAGAGAGAGAATGAGAGAGAGCACAGAGGGGGGAGCGGGAGAGGGAGAAGCAGACTCCCCGCTGAGCTGGGAGCCCGATATGGGACTCGATCCCAGGACTCCAGGATCATGACCTGAGCCAAAGGCAGTCGCCCAACCAACTGAGCCACCCAGGCACCCGAAAATTTATATTCTGAAAGTAATTTTGTTCAGGTTGAGTTTTCATTATTGGTTCAAGTTCAAAAGCTGCTTTTACTACTAAGCTTAGAGTAAACCTTACAATGAGCATTTAGCTCCTTACCTATAAGGTACCTTCTCTTACTTATTTTAAAAAATATTTTAGCTGTAAACATTAATCAGATTTCCTCTTCTATATTTCCAAATGTAAACAATAAAAATCAATTTTCTGCTTAATAGAAACAAATAGAAAGCAATCCACGTCATTAGTGATACTAATGTACTTGTAGTTCCAAGCTGGAAAATGGATTCAAGGAGAGGGGCTTTAAAGAAACCACTAATACCATATATACATCTTTTAAATGGTACATAAATTAATAATCGGAAGTGAAGAGTTAGTAACTCAAGGAAGTGTTACATTTCGAAGATAAGAAATGGAAGATAAAGCTGGTAGTTAAGTTCCATTACAGTAAAAGGTTGCAAATACCTTCTTCAACATCTGAGATATATTCACCATCACTGAGCATTTCAGGGGCGTTGGCTTTACGAACTGCATGATTTAAGTGAAGAGTGTAAGTGTGTGGAAAATGCATACCCTCTTTATGACAACAAAACACATTAACACTTCTAAAAACATTTTTGCGATAAACATTCTTAAGGAAACAGATACACAGTCACTCTTAATTATGAACACAAAGGTGGTTTTCATACCTTCATCGTCAGACATATCAAGAACTTCATTCATCGTTTCTGGAACATTCATTTTGTGCTTCTCTATGACAGTCTAGTAACAACAACAACAAAAAAGTAGTCACTTTAGTGTAAGCAGACTGAACATTTTAATGAGACTATTCATTTCTTTCTAAATTAATCAGTTGATTTATTATGGGACTGATGTGCTGAATATCATGAAGCTCTCACATAAAAATGACATCAAAATTTTCCCTTAGCATTAAGGTCTTCACCATATATACTGCTAAGAAGAAAGATAAGGTGAAAGAATTCTAGTGGTAAAGCAAACTAGCTTAAAAGATTTAGCTCCCTAATGAGGCTTTTCAAAGGAAAAGAGAAGAGAGGTATCGCCTCTCCTAGTCCATTGTTATACTTTTTCATGGTCCGAGGAACCTGCCACCTCATTCCACTAAAAGTCTTGGCTGAAGATAAGCCAAATGAACAGCACGCATTGTGTCTTTATTGCTTGTGCCAAGTCAGCCATTAATTTTGTCTTCCCCTTCTTTATGTACCTTTTAATTCCTAGAATAAATATAAAATATTGAGATTGCATAAATTATACAATTTTTTCAACTATGCCATGCAGAAAATATTTTAGAGGTTATGCATTTGAAAGATCATTTTCACCTCCATGCAATTTTAAAGAACTATATATTACAGAGCAAAGGCCTTACTGAATTTTTTACTTGCTCTTTGATGACTTTTTACCTATATAGCTTGTATCCATCCAAAGGACACTGACAACTTGTTAAAAATATTAATGACTTAATGTTTTAGACTTGAAACAAGTCCTCTTCTTATTCTGAGCATACGAAAGGCTAATGGTACAAGGGAAGATAACGTACTTAAATAAGGCAACTGAGAAAAAAAAAGCTCAGTAGTTAAAACTATGGTACATTTGTCATAATTAATGAACCAGTACTCACATATTACTATTAATTAAAGTCTATATTTTATTCAGAGTTCCTTAATTTTTACCAAATGTCCCTTTTCTGTTCTAGGTTCCCATCCAAGATACCACCTTATCTTCACCTGTCATGCCCCCATTGGCTCCTATGAATGTGACAGTTTCTCAGACTTGCCTTGCTTCTAATGACCTTCAGTTTTTAAATTTTATTTTATTTTATTTTATTCTATTTTATTTTATGTCTGTCTGTCTATCTTTATAGATTCCATTTATTTACTTGAGCCAGAAAGGGAGAGAGAAAGAGAACGCACACAAGCCTGGGAAGGGGCAGAGAAGCAGACCCCCCAGCTGAGCAGGGAGCCCGAAATGGGACTCGATCCCAGGACCCTGGGATCATGACCTGAGTCAAAGGCAGACGCTTAACCGACTGAGCCACCCAGGCGCCCGCCCTTCACAGTTTAGAAGTGAATTGGTCAGGAATTTTGTAGACTGTTCCTCAGTTTGGATTTGTTTCATGTTTTTCTCATGTTTAGACTGGGTTACATGTTTTGGGGAGGAAGACCACAGAGGTAAATTGCTATTTTCATCACATAGTATCAAGGGTCCATACCATCAACAGGATTTACCAGTGCTGATGTTGACCTTGGTTGCCTGGCTGAGGCAGTGTTTGTCAGGTTTTTCTGCTGTAAAGTTATTCTATTTCCCCCATGTCCCTTTCCATACTGTTTCCTTTGCAGGGAAGTCACTATACTCAGCCCACCCTTAAGCAGGGGGAATTACATTCTATACCTCCTTGAGGGTGAAGTATTTTCATAAATTGTTTGGAATTTTTTTTGCCTGATTTGCCTCTTCTTCCCCATGTATTCAGTCATTTATCTGTATCAGTATGGACTCATGGAAATTTATTTTATACTTTGCACTCACTCTCTATCTATCTATCTATCTATCTATCTATCTATCTATCTATCTATCTATCATCCATTTTAAATTGTTCCAGCTTTGGCCACTGGGAACTCTTTCAGTTGACTCCTGTGTCCCTGACGCAGCCCCATAATGGTGTGTTTCCATGTTGATTTCCTTGCTTGAGGTGGGGAGACACTTCCTTACTTTCCTTCCCCAGATCTAGATTTAGCTATTTCTCGAAGGAGCCCTGATTCCCTTTATTACAGAACAGTATTAGAAACCAGTTATCTGAGAGAGAGATGTCCTCTGTTCTTTGCTAATGAGGGAACTGAATATTTCAAACAATGCAATTTAAATGCTTAATTCATCTTTTGAATGTCAGCTTCTAGGTCCTCAGTTTCCTACTCTGCCATGATTGTAATGTCACTAACTCAACCATCTTTCTCAGAATTGCCATGTCCTACATTGTACTGAGAGGGAAGACGGATCTTTTTAAGGTTTTTGAAAAACTGGATGTCCGCTTATGGAGTCAATGGCTACTGGGGCCCCAGCAAGGGGCCGTGCAGGCTGCACTGTGGTTAGTGAGCTCAGGATCACAGACTCCACCCTGAAATCTGCCAGTTCTCATCTATGCCAGGTTACATGTAACCGCTAAAAGCACAGCTGACAAGGTGGTGTCTCAGCTTGAAATAAAGTCTCAAATACCGCAATGCTGGACTAAGACTTAGGGACTTCAGTGGACTCTTTTCCAATCTATGTGAGCACTTCATTTGGTGGAAGCCTCATTTACTTCATTAGGCAAACTGGATCTTTCCTGTAAGCATGAGTCCTATCTTCTCTCTCTTGCAGAAATTACCAGACAACTCAGTGGATGACACCGAGTGATATGGCCTGACTCCCATATTTGTTCTTTCACTTGGAACCAGAGCCTTGAATCCCCTCTCGGACTAGAACTTTACTTCCTCTGTCTTTAACTTTATTTTCTCCTCCAGCTTTTTTTTTTTTTTTTTTTTTAAGATTTTATCTTTAAGAATCTCTACCTCCCACATGGGGTTTGACCCCATAACCCTGAGGTCAAGAGTCACACACTCTACCGACTGAGCCAGCCAGGTGTGCTCCTCAAGCATCTTTGATATTCAAGAAACATTCTGAACTTTCCCAATGGGTGAGAACATCATTTACATTCAATAAGCAAGAATTATATTTTGAACGATTATATAGGTTTCAACTCTCTAACAATGAAAAAGTTTTATATATTTACTGCAGTGATTTCAAATCTTTTATAGTATTGTGACACTTGACCATTGTTTAATACCTTGTCCTTCTCCCTCTTTTTTCCCCCACTCTAGAGAAAGCAAAGGGAGTATCTATAAGATTAAAGTTAATAAACATTATTTGTTTAAACTCTTTTCTCAAGAATTTAATAACGATTTTTAAATCATGAAATACTCAAGAGGTATATATAAAAGCAATATAGTAATTTATCTCTATACAAACTATACCTCGAAGTTACGAACACGCCCTGGTTCATAACCATTGCCCTAGCCCATTAAAGCTACTGCTTTCTTTTCAGCAAACTGCATAATTTCTCCCTTGCAATCAGCAAGCTTATTTTTTTTAGCTTTTAAAGCCTTTACACCGCCAAATAATTCAACCAGTAGGTTACTACAGAGTCCTTCAACCCATTTTTTTTTTGTATGAAGCACTGTGTGTACAAACTGTTTGCAGATGCTGATTATGCCTCCCTTCACATCGGAAGGTGGTGGATGAGAAAAGGAGGCAGAGCTGATAATACCCAATGTCCCAGAGTCCTAAGTTTACATTGTACGGAGCCAGTCTCAGGCATGTGTGTTGAGTCACGGAGTCAGGAATAACTCCAACTAGCCTCTGATATGGTGCAAGATCTGCTCTTGCTTCCACAGTTACCAAATCCTCACGCAGTTCAGAGGCTCCAGATGGTGCTAATAAGAAACGACTTATCCTAGAGGCTGCAGCTTGTAAAAATGTATCTGACGCAATAAGGCCTCCTGGTAAAGATTTATTTGTAATTTTAACAAAACATCTATTTGGTTTTCCTGTGAAAACTCTAATAGCTGAATGGAAGAGCAGTGAGAGTGGTGACAAAAATCAGTTCTGATCCTCTCTCTCATGTTTTATTTTGACACTGTAAAAAAATGCATTTACAATAATGACAACAGTGTATCCATTATTTATGAGTCATAACATTTTAAAGAACCATCTTATCTTCAACTTCCTCACATAGCCAAAGGTGGATGTTAAAATATTTCTGCCTTCATTTCATTAAAAATGTTTTTATATCAAAACAAACATGCGTACGTTTAGCTTTCCATGGGACAAAACACTTTATAGCTACTAATGCAACTTTTAAAAAGGTACTTTAAGGGCATCTGGGTGGCTCAGTCGTTAAACGTCTGCCTTCGGCTCAGGTCATAGTCCCAGGGTCCTGGGATCGAGTCCCACATCGGGCTCCCTGCTCCACGGGAAGCCTGCTTCTCCCTCTCCCACTCCCCCTGCTTGTGTTCCCTCTCTCGCTGTCTCTCTCTGTCAAATAAATAAAATCTTTAAAAAAATAAAAAAAAATAAAAAAAATAAAAAGGTACTTTAAGTGTTTAGTGTCTCAATGTCCGAACCGAGAGCTGCCATGCCGGCTGTCAGCAATGAGGCGACAGCATTTGGAGGCGTGGTGCTTAGTCTGTGAATGGGGGGAAGTAGGTTCCTCTCCCAAAAGCCCCAGAAAATCGACGGCGTGAGAGCTGGCTCTCAGGGCGGCGAGGTCCAGCGTCTGCTACTTACAGTTGTGGTCATGGTTTCCTCAGTCACTACCTTCAGGGTGTCGACCACTGAGATGTAGCCAAGCCTCCGGGCAATGGCTAGGGCAGTGTTCCCATTCTGGCAAGAGGGAAACGAGCACAAGGAATTAAGAAGTCATTCCCTGCGTCTCGGTGTCTGTGTGTTTCCACGTGTTTCGCCCATACTAAACAGCAGGTGGGTGTCTCGTTGGTCCCACCCACTGTCATACACAAAACACTATTTCATTAGAGACGTGCCTTGCACAAAACCCACCTAACCTGTTCCCACTCACACAGCAGAGACTTGGCTGCTACACATGGAATCCAAAAGGCTTCTTAACATTCTAAGTTATCAAGGGGACAAACATGTTTTTCTTTCTGTATATGTATTTCCTACTAGGTGGCAATGGGTTTGTAGTTTTTAAGGGTGAAGCACCAATCACATCTCTCTGGACGGCTCACAATATAGCTACTGTCCTTTGGCCTGAATTCTACTGAATGTTCCATTTAGTAAAACAGTGACACTGGTGCATGATGAAAAATGTAAGAAGATCCCAGCATCCAGGTCTATCTCCTCCCTCTTCCCTTAGCCTCCCTCTTCCCTTCCCTTCACTCTTACCACAGTGAGTTCATTGGGGGAAGCATTGTTCTGGAGCAAGACATTTATTATATGTGTGTGTCCCTGTTGAGCTGCTTGATGTAACGGCGTATACCCATTCTGCGGAAGGAAGGTGGAAGACTCTTACTTCCTCGGACACAAAATCAGTGACTTTGATGGTGGATACAAAGAAGAAAAGTCTTTACCTTTGTTTTGGCATTAACTTTTGCAGAATGCTGGAGCAGGAAATTAACAATCTTGATGTTTCCATAGTGGCAGCCCACATGTAAAGGTGTGTATCCCATCTGTAATTACATTTTTCAGAAAAGAAACCTCATAAGTATACTTTCAGTAACAGCTACCCTAAATAGAAGCAAAAGTATTATTTAACCTGTCTTTTTGAGCTGGCATAGTTTTTTCCCCTACATAAATATATGATGCCCTTGATATTTCTGAGAGCTAGTGTGAGATATAAAAATAATACCATGTCACATGTAAGTAGTTACTGAACTTCCCAAAGCGCTCTCTTTTGCATCAGCTCATTTTATTCTCACACCAACTTTTCAAGATGGGAAGGAAATATGGCCCAGTCAACAGCCTGGACAGAGCGATTTAGTGGCTTGTTGTCAAGGGACAGGAAGAATGTTCTGTGGACAGATGCAGACTAGGATTTATTGATCACTCTACTCTCGAAAAGCATAAAATGGAGGTAGAAAAAAACCATGAAGTGGCTAAATGATAATGCCAGGTAACAGACGATTATCAGAACGCAGAAGAGGCTGGTGGGAGTTCAGGAGGTCTGAGAAGTGTGAACTTGATCCAGGTATACATGCTGGAGTTAAAGTCTCCTGCTTACCAGCTAGGGTCCCATAATTTGAAAACAACTGATTCAGACAAAGCAGTTAAGTTGCTTCCCAAATTAATATCCACTGACCCCTGGGGAATTATAAGTTGTATCTATTAAAAATATATATCTTACATATATAAAATTATGTATGTGTGTATAATTATTTTTTAAAATAAGGATATTCCAGATACTTTTCTAGATGGCCACATTGTAACAGACACCGCCATGCAATTTCAGCATCGGCAATTAATTTCTGTTTATGAGGACACTAGCAGCACCAGATTGACAAAAGGGAGAGGACTGAGTTTTTAAAAACACTTCTCAGTGTGCGTGGGGGGAGAGGTGGGGCATCCATGTTTTCAAGGGTCTGTACCTCATACGGTAGGCACTATTGTATCTTTATGGTGACTCTATGCTATAGACAGAATGTTTGTATCCCCTCAAATTCCCATGCTGAAACCCCAATCTCCAGTGTGATGGTATTTGGAGATGGGGTCTTTGGGAGGTAACTGGGTCATAGGTAATTAGGTGGAACCCTCATGAATGGGATTAGTGCCCTTATCGGAAGAGATAGGAGACAGCTTGCCTCTTCTCTCTGCTCTCTGCCACGTGAAGCTACAACAAGAAGGCACGAGATAGCCACCTGCAAACCAGACAAGGGATCTGCTGGCATTTTAATCTAGGACTTCCCAATCTTCAGAACTCTGAGAAATGACAGTTTGTCCCCTCTACGGTATTCTTGTCATAGCAGCCCAAACTGACTAAGACGTGCTAGCAAATGGGTATATCTGAATTTGAAAAGGGCATGCCCAGACCACAGCTGATTGTGGAAGGTGAAGACATCTCACCAGGATGTGCTGCCCTAAAGAGTTTTACTCTGGTCAGATTCTGCTCCACAAACCGAACAGTCAGTGCTGCCCAGACTCCCACTGCTAAAGCTTGCCATAACCATGTACGTGAGTCTGATTTTCAGCCCCTGAAGCTGCTCCACGCATGATGAAGGAGATCCTATCCTGGTAACCAGAACTAACTTGCCTAACTTTGCAGGCTTCTTTCTCGATACTGAGGAACTCAGACTATTGCATCAGGAATCACAATGCCGCTCAGTGGGGGAGGCATGCAAAAGGTTTTCTCCAATCGGTTCTCAGTACAATTAGCTTAACTGAAGTAACATTATTCCCAACTTTCGTGGTAGAGGATTAATCCCAAGCTAAAAACATACAGATAATATTTTTTAAATCTAAATATTAAGAAACTTTTCAGGTTTTTAGGGGTGCCTGGGTGGCTCAGTGGGTTAAGCGTCTTCCTTCGGCTCAGGTCATGATCTCGGGGTCCTGGGATCGAGCCCCACATCGGGCTCCTTGCTCAGCAGGAAGTCTGCTTCTCCCTCTGCTGTTCACCCTGCTTATGTTATCTCTCTTTCTCTGTCAAATAAATAAATAAAATCTTTAAAAAAATAAAAATTCAAAAAAGAAACTTTTTAGGTTTTTAGTCAGTATGCCTAAGCAATGATGCAACAATTTCTAAAGGCTGTTGTGCTAAGTATACTAAAGAAATTGAATCATGTTAAGAATCTTAATGTTCAGTTTCTACTCATCCTCATAGCTTTCCATCTAATTCCTAGTAAAACCCTAAGTCATTATAATGGGCTACTGGACCCGTCTGATCTGGTCCCTTCTCTATACCCCCTATTCATTAAATGTCTGAGCTCATTCCTACTAATGTCTTCCTTGTTTGTTGTACTTGAGGACACTGGTCTTCTTGCTGTTCCACAAGCATTAAAGTATTTTATTAAAAAATACATGTGTGTGCCCAAGAAGATTTAGTTGGCATTTAGAGAAACCAAATTGGGGCTCTTCCATTCATTGAGGGCCAGAAAATTCCCACATTAAATGGCACCTTGCACAAATATGCTCAGAGAGATGTGATTTGAGAAATTCCTTCCAATTAGCAGCAATCGATTTTGGAAAGACCAACTATTCTTTCTGGAATGGCTAGGAAATAATCACAGTTCAGCTAACTGAGCAGTCTCTGCCTCTTTTTCCACTGTTGCCTACTTAGCCCATCCTTACGAGCAGGAGTTGTCTTCTCCTTTAGGCAATACTGAAAGGCTGTAATTGTGTAGGAAGAGCTAAAAGGTGCAGATGGAGTAATCAGGCTGGTATTTCTGATCTATGGTACCACAAGACCATATCTTATTGGGTCGTAGTCAGGTGCATCCCCACACAAATGGTTTGAGAGAGAGGGAGTAGGAAATCCACACTTATGCCCAACCTCCTAAAATCTGTGGTCCTCTAGGAGTCCATCCTTGGCTTTCCTTTTTCACAGCTACGACTACTCCCTGATTTTATTTATTTCAGGTAAAAATTTTGTTTTCAATTTTTATGTGTTGATGCTATTGTTTTAAGGAACATCTTTCTATTGTCACATGTTATATGAAATAGTACTTGATAATATGGCAGGTAAAGATCCATGGAAGACTGTAAGGTAGTCTCACAAACAGCTTTTTCAAAATTTTAGTTCAGTATAACTAATTGAAATTGAAAAAGTACAAACAGGAATTTTTCCTTTAGAAAATAAACTCTCTGAAAATAAACTCTCAGTATTTAATTTCTTGAAGGCAGTATAGTCAAAAGTCTCAACACACTAAAAGAAAAAAAAAACGTTGAACATTTCCCCCCTAGTTTTTTGCTTTATTATTTACCTCCAAAATCAATGTGGGGATAAACTGCAGGAGAAAAACAAGCAAAATATCTCAGGTATTATAGAAGGGGCAAAGCAAATGAATATTTTCAAAATGATAGGAGAAAAATAAGTAAATTGCCATCTCTATCCCTAGTGTAGCTTATCCCACTTCTGATGCATCTTATAATTTAGCCTCTTCTCTTTCTCCGGGCACCTTCCTCTCAGCCAACAAATACATTTACCTATTTCCAATTCTAGAAACAAAAACACCTCTTCTAAATATTTGTCTCTTTTTCTAGGTCTAGATGCTTCCAAAGCTAAGCTTCTTGAAAGAAGGCATCTTCACTCACTCTTCCCTCCCCACCCCCTTCCTCCCATGTTCCAGGGGACCTGCTTTCTAATCACTCACGTGCCAACCCAGTGATGTGCTTTAGTGCTTCTCTCGCCTGATACACCCTCCTGGACAGTCATTCATGACTTGGCGTCCATGTCATATTCTTTCCTGATCACCTTCCTACCCTTCGTTAGGCCTGCTTCTACCTCCTTCATCCACTTTAAAATATCATTGATCCCAGTGGGTTGGGCTTTGATTTCCTCCATGCTGTTTCTCAATGATCACATCTGCATTCCCAACTTCAATTAATACATCTATTCTGACAACTTCCAAATTGGGATCTTTAGTCCAGACCTCCTATCCTACACCCTGGAGCCAAAACTTTAAGTCATTTACTGGATTTTTCCACCTAGACAGCCCCTAAATCATCTAATATACAACATACCCAATACAGAATTCTTGGTCTTCTTTCCCCAGCTAGCTTCCTCTCCTTTATTTCTAATCTCCTTGAATGGTACTTGTGATCACCTAGGCACAGGGCTCACATCCTTAGATTCATCCTCAATTTCTCACTTTTCCTCACGTCTTATTGCTCATACTTCTTTAAGTATTTCTCCAGTTTCTCTCTTGCTCATCAATTTCCCATCTGCCCCTAAGTGGAGGCCTTCTTTATTCTCCATCTGGACCTTGGCAGTAGCCTTCAACGGCCCCTGTTCCAAACTCCTTGGACCAACTCAGTCTCTGCACGGTCTCCTGGGATCTTTCTAAACTGGATGTCTGATCTTATTACTCTTCTGGGTTTTTTTTTTTTTTTAAGATTTTATTTATTTATTTGACAGAGAAAGACACAGAGAGAGAGGGAACACAAGCAGGGGGAGTGGGAGAGGGAGAAGCAGGCTTCCTGCTGAGCAGGGAGCCCGATGCGGGGCTCGATCCCAGGACCCTGGGATCATAACCTGAGCCCAAGGCAGACACTTAACGACTGAGCCACCCAGCTGCCCCCACTCTTCTGTTTAAAGCCTTCCAAGGCTTCCCAGTGCAAACAGGATAAAAAGCTGAACTGAACTTGCTCAGCCTGGCATATTAAGGCCCTCTGAAATCTTAATTTTCTGGCAGCACCTTGGGATATGCCCCCAATTTTTTTCTCTTGTTTCTGTGATACTGAACCAGTTATAGCTCCCTTCTACACTCCCCACCTTTGTAAAATAATTCAGTTAATGACAATATTTCTAAAATTATTTATTTATATGTGGGGTTAAAGTCAGGCTTTGTACTAATTCGCTGTGTGACCTTATACAAGTAACTACTTTCTGTGTTTCAGTTTCCTCATCTGTAAAATAGGGATACCAATCTCACCCACCTTCTAGGGTAGTTGTAAGGATTTAACTAATTAATAAAGGTAAAGCACTTAATACATGACACAGAGAAGATGGGTAATACACTTTGCTATTATTATATTATTGTATTATTTTTATTGTCACATATCTTCCTTTCTAGACTATAAATACTATTGAGGGCAAGGAACATATCAACCTGTTAAGAATTCAGCATCTAGTAGGAGCTCTAAAAATGAATGTGAAATGAGTATCAAATAATTTTTTTCATTATTTTACACACATTTAAAGAAATATAATTTAACTATTAATTTGCTAATCAGTACCCCTGAGAATCAGTGTATTTTGGGTGGCCTAAATAAAATGCTTCAGGAGATTATCCTTTTAAAAAGCAAAAGGAGTGGCTTTTTTTCAGTTGAACCACACTGAATATTAAACCCTGTGGCCAGCAGGACAATTTAGTCTGATCTGATTCAGTGAACCACAAATACAGAGTTGGAGGTATAGAAGCTCAGCAAGCCAGTGGGAAGGCTATGAAAGCTGTTACCAGGATTTTCCAGTCTTTTCCCCACAACAGAAAAGAGCTCTCGATGTTTTCATGATTACTATGTTTAAATTTAAGCCAATGAATTGGATGGTACCATACTCAACACCTGTAGGCTGCGCAGGGATGTCATCTCACTAGTAAGAATTTGGAAGTTCACAGAATATAATAAATTCCTTTATTCACAGGATTAGAAAGCAAGTCCCAACAACCCATCTCTTGCCATTCTGCTCTTCTCAGCAAGGGGACAATCATAGCCTCAGTTTTTCGGGTGCTATGATCTTTGCTGAGATGAGAAAGGAAGAGAAAAGAATTTGTAAGAGACAGAGAGGTGTTTTCTGAAGGGCATCACTTGTAAAGGGCAGGAAAGGGAACATGCTTCATAAATATTACACCAAGGGCAAAAATGGTTACTGACCATGACCTGAGGTGGGCGGGTGGAGTTAGGAGGAGACCCTGGTAGAGGCCCTAGACTCTTAAACCAGGGGCCCCGTGTGCAAGAAGGCACATAGCACCGCATCCTGCCTCCCAACATGCTCTGGAGGATCGGTATCTCACTTCCGGACTGAATGACAGGGTACGCCTCGGATGTGCAGGGGCAAAAACGTACTGAGAAACTTAACCCTGTGTGGGACTCCTAGAATTTTTAATCTGTCAAGGGAGAGGTAACCAAAAAAAGTGTGTAAGTCTGTGTTTTTGTGTGTAAATGAAACAACACAAGATGGATATATTTACCGTTAATAAAATAAGGAATAATAAGCTAAATTCAGTCTGATTCTTCTTTTTTTTTTTCCCAAGAGAGAGAGCATGAGCAAGGGCAGAGAGAGAGAGGGAGAGAGAGAATCTTAAGCAGGCTCTGGCGTGGAGCCTGATGTGGGGCTCGATCCAATGACCCTGAGATCATGACCTGCGCCAAAATCAGGAGTCCAACTGAGCCTCCCAGGTGCCCCCAGTCTGATTCTTTTTTCAGAATTAAAAATGCTTTTATTTTCAAAATGGAAAGTAACAAGAAATCACTCAGCTGCTACCAGTGCCTTTACTGCTAAACACTCAGCTAGCTAGGGAAGCATTCAAGGCTAAGGACAATGAGATTTTTTTAGAGTGGGAGCGGGGATAGAGGAAAGGATCGCTGAGCAAGCCGGCTACGGAGACTGCAAGGACACAGAAATTCCAGAAAGGGAATTACCTACCCCCAGTCCCACCTAGGGCTGTCCTGGCCAGGGACAACGGTGCTTGTTTTACTATTTTAACACAGAGTTTAAAACACAGACAGGATCTTGCCTGGTCAGAGCTCTTTCAGGCAGCTTCTTTTTACTAGAACACAGTGTGGGTGGTGCAGCTGTAGTTAGAGAGGCGAACAGTGTCCAAAGGGTGCGGTCTACTCGGGCTGTCCCCTCTGTGCTTAGCCAGTAAATCCAGTCTGCTTCTGATGTGTGAATACCTTCTTACTTGGCGAACTCCTAGTGATACTTCTATATTTGTTAATATCTTCAGGATCACTACACCTCAGAACCGATCTATAGGATACCCAAGATGTTTGTAGTCACAATATTTAATAAGCATTCACTTTTGTGTCAAAAATATGACACATAGAAAGAAACGAGAGTTCTATTTTAGAGTAGATAAAACAAGTTTGCTATGAAGAGGTAACAAAAAAAGTGCTGAGAGAAAATGCTCAGAGAAATGAGATTAATACGAAGTCCTATCTCTGATGAAGACACAAAACATCCATTTTTCTTATCTGAGTTTGAAATTGTGGCATTATAGGATATTAAGTAGCATTTTTTTTTCTTTTTGAAGAGTGCTATTTGTCTGAGAGAGAGAGAGAAATGCTAGCAACCACACATGCCATAAGGAATGTAGCAAGTGAATAATAATTGAATAAAACTTACTTTATCCTTTTTTATAGACTACGTCTGAACAAAGTTGAAGGTCACAAATCACTGATAAATTTTTCTGTATGCATTAAGTCAATCACAACAGCTAAGAAAGGAGCAAGATTTTACACTCTGCCATTGAAGGATAGATCTGTTGCAACAAGGATCAATAATAGCGCTACCACGGTGGGCATCTACAGGCAGCCAGGATAAAGTGCCTAGGCCACTGAAGATAAAAGCATCTGGGCCACTGTCACCAGAGACTTTGGTGTCCCTTGCACAGATGTATGTTTGAAATACTATGTGTAAGAGATAGGATGGAAAATTTGTCCTCACCACCCCCCCATCAAATTGTTATTGTTTCCATATAGGAGTCACTAAATGACACTTTATACCGGCACATTCTTTTTGTATACCTTTGTCTGGGCATCCACGTTTGCCCCTTGGTTTACGAGGACTTCGGCCACATTCACTCTGTCTTCTTGAGCAGCCAAGTGGAGCGGGGTCAGGCCACTCTGAGAAAGAGTCAAAGTACAGTCATCTTAGAGAAGGGAGTATAGCACACAGGCATGTTCCAGCCACAGTTTATGAACTCTAGGACAGGAAGCCTAGAATTGGTATGTTAAAAAAATCTGCAGGATAAGTTTCCATATTAGCACCATGGCAACATTGCTACCTGCAGGCTTCATGAAAAATTTCAAACACCCTCAGAAGTGGAGGGGGTGGCCTGGACCTTGTGTCCTCAGCACAGACTGAGCAATCATCAAGGTTTTCCTACATCTGCTTCATCCAGCCCTACTTCCTGCTCATTCTTTTCTTTGTGGAAGCATTTTAAGGCAAACCCCAGACATTATATCATTTTCCTACTACATACTTCAGTGTTCATTTTTTAAAACTAGAGTCTTTTTAAAAAAATGATATAAAATGATATAATGTCTGGGATTTGCCTTAAAATACTTCCGCAAAGAAAAAAAATTAAATGAAGAAACAAACACAAAGCAGAATCAGGCCTGTAAATACAGAAAACCAACTGACGGTTGCCGGAAGAAAGGCGGATGGAGGGACCGGCAACATGGGTGAAGGGGAGGGGGTGGTCCAGGCTTCCAGTTATGGAGTGAATAAGTCACGGGAATAGAGTCGAAGATACTGTCACAGTGATGTGACAGGACAGAAACGGCAGCTACGCTTGTGAACACAGCATAATGGATAAACTTGTCAAATCACCAAGTTGTACACCTGAACCCAATGTAAGATGGTATGTCAACTATACTCAAAAAATAAGTAAATAAATACCTACCAAACCCCCCTAGAGACTTTTCTTTTGCAAAATTATGCAGGAATTTCAACACATTACCATTGGCATTGGCATTAGCAGAAATTATTAAAAGAAAAATTAGTTATAAATTAAATATGATGATAAATTAATATATGATGACAATATTTTCTCCAACAAATATGAATACCCAAAGCTGATAAATATATTCTATATGTTGCTTCTGGGTAGGAAAGATGGCCTGGGAAATGCAAAATGAATGCTGTATCATGAGAATTTCCAGGTCATTTAGATGGGGTATCTGTTTAATGAGACTGAATATTTGAAACTGAGTCTACCACGGAACACGCAGGCCACCTAGTTGTTCCAATGGCCAAGAAAAATATCACCAAGACTGTACTCCACTTTCAAAATCCTCTGTAGCTGTTAAAGTGTCTTCTCATGAATAATATTTAAGAGAAAGTAACTCGGCGTTAGTGCTTCCAGATTGTTTTCTTTCCCCTAATATGAGCACAGAAGTTAATCTCTGCATCCCAGAGGCCTTCTGTGTCTTCCTCTAGCATCCATGTGATGAGAACCTCAGCCGTCCTCTTTGTCAGAGGAGAGGAGTGAATCAGATGCCAGAGCAGCAAGGGCACAGAGCCCTCGAGATGCCGAACATTATTTATTCAGGACAAGTCATTTGCTCTTGACTTCTTAATAATGTTTACAGGATTTGGGAGGAAGCCCACTCAAACTGTAGAAAAGAGGAAATATGGAAAGGAGGGCAGATGCATTCAATTGAAATCCAAGAAAAATAGGCTGGGGCCAAAACTGGCATCACCCAAACTGACATCATCTGAGAATCATGTCCCCTCTTCTACCTTATTGATTTATTAAGTTTTTATTTTACTTCCAGTTAGTTAACACAGTGCTCTATTAGTTGTAGGTGTACAAGATGGTGATTCAACACTTGCATGCATCAGCTGGTGCTCATCACAAGTGCGCTCTTCAATCTCCAGCCCCTATTTCTCCCGTCCCTCCACCCCGTCCATGTTCTACTTGAGAGGAAACAAATGTTTTTAGCCATAATATTTCGTACAAGTGACATGGTCACTTATTTTAAGTTAAAGACTTTTCAAGACTTCTGAAGATTCTTTACGGATGGTTCTCAGCAAAGTTTGGGGAATGTCTTCTGGCACGTGCCCTACTCTCTCACGTTCCGAAGTCTATGTTCACGCTGCCCCCATGGGTTCCCCACTCTAGCTGTGGCATGGGGTGACTCCCAGCTCTCCTGGGCTTCTCCCTCCCTCCTTGTCTCTCAAAGGGCTCATTGTTACACTTATGTGCACACCTTCTATGTGCTCACCTCTACTAAGAGCATCATAATTCTGCACTAAAATTCTGTTTTCTTGTCTGTCTTCCTCAAACCACTGTGAGCTTGTTGAGGCAGATGTATCTTTAATCTTTACGTAACCAGTGTCTAGCATCTAGCGCTTAATCATCTACTAAATTATCAAATCAGAAGACAAAGCAATCACCTTTAGGTAAAATAGGGTAAATAAAGAAAAACTTCCATTTATCTTCATGATTTCCATTAAAAAGATTTTTAAAAAATAGCGTGACGGTGGGGGGGGGGCGCCTGAGTGGCTCAGTTGTTAAGCGTCTGCTTTTGGGTCAGGTCATGATCCCAGGGTCCTGGGATCGAGCCCCGCATTGGGCTCCCTGCTCGGCAGGAAGCCTGCTTCTCCCTCTCACACTCTCCCTGCTTGTGTTCCCTCTCTTGCTGTGTCTTTCTCTGTCAAATAAATAAAATCTTTAAAAAAATAGCATGATGGTTAAAACAGCCCCATTTGACTTCAGAAGTTACCTGTTAATCTTTTATAAGGTTTCAACCATTGCTCATTTTAAAAATGGCATTTACTTGGAATAAGAGAACACCACCAACTCAGAATATCAACAGCCCTGTTTAATATTCCATTAGCAGTACAAAGGAATGGAGCTACTTGTGGTCTGCAAAATCCAAGTGGGAAGGTAGGTAGGAACATCAAAACTGAAAGTGAATCGAATAAAATGCTAACACTTCAGTAGTAATTGGGCTTTATGGCCTCTTTTCCTTAAAGTGACCAGGAACTTCTGGTGGCTAATAAGAAAAGAACAAAGTGAAAACAATGAAGGGTTTAGTTCAACATCAATTTTCATAAAAGCTATGTCTCTCTTTTAATATTGATTTTTTTTTTAGCAAGGACATAAAATTTGGTGTTAAGTGGGGAGTTGGGATGGGCAGGTGTTTAAAACTCGGGCAGTTTAGGGCAAATTGACAGAGAACTAACTCTCTGAGCTCCTTATTGCATAATGAAGTTCTACTCATGTTCTGTTTTCACCTCAAGACTTATTTAATACTTTCTATAGAGACCATGGCAACTGAGAAAGGAAGCGAAGATTTACAAATGCCTTCATATTAGATCATTTCTAGGTGCCGTGAAGTTCTTGCAAATTCCTAAGGCACACAGTGCTAATGGGAAGCCAGCTAATCTGCTTTTTAAAATTTCACTGGAAGTATTTCTGCTGATGTCAAGTTTTTTCAGGAAGGTGGCTGATGACGTCCAGGTTGCCTTGGTTAACTATATCACGTGGTCCTCAGAATTCCCTCGCTAATGTCCAGTCTACCAAAGCAAACACTGAGAAATGCTGAAGTATTTTTAGTCTAAAACTGTCTATGATTTTAAGGTGAATGCAAGGCTGGATATACACTGCAACTAGTTGACTGGAGTATTTTATTTATTTATTTATTTTGACTGCCAGATTTTAAAGAAAAAAAAAGTCACATTGTACTTTGGTATCAAATCTACTGAAAATATTTACCTATTAACCAATTGTTAAGGCCTATATTGTCTCCGAGAGGATTAGTGAGCTATACTATTCTGGGCTCTTAAAATAGACTCAGTGGATGCCAGAATGTACTTCAATTTGAGAAGACCAGGTCTTCTACCTCATTAAGACAAGTTGAATTTTGTAGCAGATTATTGTAAGCCTGGTCTCTATGTTAGTATTTGAACCCTCAAAATTAAAAAACTCAAAAAAAAAGAAAAAAAAAAACCCTGATAATGGCTATTTGAAATTGCTCTGTGATTCCTATTAAATCAGAGACATGCATTCCTAAAAGGAATGTTTAAAAAGAAAGATATGAGAAAATCAAATTGTTACACCAGAAAAATATGAAAAAATGTGTTTGCTCTGCAGTGATCATAAAGGATTTTCAAGATACTAAAACTGAAAAAAAGGTTTCCCTGTTTTCTCATGTATGTCTTTTCATCTACAGAATGTGTTAATTTACAACCTTGGGAACTCAGATTAGTGCAGAATAACCTTTTCCCCAAATTGTGAGAAGTCCAAAATTAAGATAACTATTCTTTTTCTGCTTTAAGTAGAAAGTGCTGAATGTTATTTCAGTTAATCTTTATGACATCTCTGTGAGGTAAGTATTTTGTCTTCATTTACTAGAGGACAAAATAGAAGCTTGGCGAGGTCACATCAAGTAAATCAGGCTTAGGATTCACACCCAGGAGATTCAAAGCTTCTGTGATTCCAAAACACAGGCCATATTTTTGGAAAAAAAAAATTAAGTTACTTGTTATTTGTCATCATAAAACTCTTGCTATCTTGAAACTCTACTCCAATATCTGAGCTATGGGTGTACCATCACCACTGGGAGAGAAGAAGCCAGGGAGTTCGGATTATCAAGAATTTGGGGGCACTCTTGCCGGCTTTTGTGTTATCTGAAGGGAAGACTTAGAAACATCTGTTCTGTGTTTTGAGCAGATCTCAGACTTAGGTATTAATAAACAGTTCAGCAAGCCCCGTATATGCAATGAGAGGTCGTAACTTCATTAACATGTCTCTGGCCAGTTGTGGGCTGGATTTTTGCTTTGCTTCACAAAATTCTTCACAAAGAGTTGGATGTCAACTATGAAGGCAGGGGAGTCTGAAAAATTTGGGGAACAGAGGCTTCATCAGTTCCTTGAAACTGCCAATTTACATACGAAGACTAACAACCTTTCCAGCCTATGAATAAAATACCTACTCTAAATTTCTGTTAATGAACTCTCTGAAGGCAGCACTATTTCCAGTATCTGTAATCTCTGACTTAAAACTGGGACAGGTAAGGAGGAAGTGCCCCAAAATGTTTGTGGACTAAATCAACAGGCGACAATTTACAACTTACTACTTACTAGGTTCTGGTATGGTAACAATGTTGCTCTTTGAATTAACATTCTAACAAAATTTCATGTTATTCAAAAAACTTTGTGGACTGCATTTTTAGGGCTATATGTTACTCAGTTGTAAGACTTTACAATTACTGATTTACCATTATCTTACTGCTTAAACATATTTTCTCAAAGTTTTTGCTATAATAAACATTTTGGCAAACATCTTTGTGCAATATTACGCTTTACAAATTGGATTTGACCTGGATTCTTCATGTTTCTCAGTGACCTTTCTGAGAGGTAAGGTTCTGTTGTAAGCTTTGTAGAGAAAAAGCAAGGTTACCTTATTGCTCAGGTTCACGTTAGCATTTCTGCCGAGGAGCAGTGACACCATGTCCACGTGTCCTTCCTGAGCTGCAAGATGGACAGAAGCAATTCCTTGCCGGGTAACCGCATTTGCATCAGCACCATATTCCAGCAGAGTTGTCGCTATGTCCATCTGGTTCTTTTTGGCAGCGATGTGCAGTGGCGTATAACCATTCTGTCAACACGAATCACTTGGTCACATGCCCAGGAACGAGATAAAAATGTGTGCAGTGCACTTTCAAATAGAATGCTTCCCTTTCTAGTGATTTTCTTCGACGGTTTAAAAATTGAGAATCACATAAGCAAACTGATAAATCGCACTGTGCCATTAAGGTATTGCCCTCATCTTCCACATTTCTAAATCAGGAAAACATACTGTGGATGGTTTAATGCAAGAGAAACAGAGTACCACTGGTTTTACAAAAGGAATATAGTAGTTACGTTGGTAGGTGCTCAATCACTACTTGCTTTATTTAAATTGGTAATGAGAGGAAACCCAAGTAGGAAACAACAATCAATATGGGCACGTTTAGAGCTATTATTCTGCCTTTAAAACATCCTTAATGGTTATTTGTTTCGAACAAGTTGAAAAATGTAATGTTCATGGTAGTCAAGATGCTATAATCTACTGTCATAGCCCCGTTGTTTTATTATTATTTCTTTTTGAGTAGGCTCCCAATGTGGGGCTTGAACTCACAACCCTGAGATCAAGACCTGAGCTGAGATCAAGGGTTGGATGCTTAACCAACTGCACCACCCAGGCACCCTCCTCTCATGGCCCCTTTGATTGTCTCTTTTATGAAACCCTAGTTTCTAGGTTATGCTTCAGCTGAACTGGTTTCCCAAATAAGATACAGCTCATGTTTCTGTTTTGTACCACTCTATCAAGAATGTTTTTCCCCACCAGGTATTCGGGGCCAGCATCTTCCAGCTGAAGCTTCAGCTCAAGGGTCATATTCTCACGAAGTGTTTCATCCCCTCCTTACCCTCTTATACCCACCCCAACCTAACTGACTCTAATCAAAGTCTTGGAGATACTTAGTGGAGCTGTTTCCTTTCCACACCTGTTTCCTCCTGCTAAAATACAAATTTGTTGAGGGCAGGTATTGTGTCATATTTGTCTTTGTATCTCTACTAATGCCTCACGGTGACTGGTGAATCCTTAGAATTTGAGTCAGACTTACTAGAACTTTTTGAACATTCTGGGATCCTCATCTTGGCTGACCCTTGGCGCTCAAGGTAGAGGCGACCTAAATTTCTTCAGCAAACTGTTATTTAGCTGTGCCTCAGGATCCCTCAAAGTCCTTTGCTCTAAGAAAGAAAGGTCCCCTATGCTAGGGAGGGGAACTTGTCCTGCCTTACAGTCATTTAAGAGAAATGCAAGGTTATATTTTGACTTGGGCATGAATCTGACTATATAAAATATGCCAATGAAAAATTAGAACAACTTTTTTTATAGAAAAGGAGGTTTAGAGAAAAAAAAAAGAATTCATGGATTTATATTTGGGAAGATGATCCAAACCTAGACAACTACCAGTCGCGATCTTTCCAAGCAATACAGATGGGTCAAAGTCAACATGGAGGACAGTAGGGGCTGCTGTACCACTGATAGGTCAGCCTACAGCAATCAACCCTCATATTTTAAGTCACTAGCATGTCCTAGGAGGAGTGTTTCTCACTTGACAGACACTCTTCCTATAATCAATTGTAGAGGATTTAAGCTGTTGGATATCAACCCATGCAAGTGGAAATGCCACCTCCAGACTCTTCTGAAACCACACTCTGCCAAATGGGATGGGCAGGGTAGAAGATTTTATATCCCTATTTTTAGTTTTGACCTATTGCCATCTGGAAACCCCAGCTGACCCGGGAAGCATTTGTCCCTCTGCACAGACACACCCTAAAGAGACTGCCTTCAGAGCCAAATGTAGAGCTTTGGACTGAGCCCAACTCTACAGCAAGTGACAGGAGGGGGAGGTCTGTTTCGCTCCCATCCCCACCCCTGCCTAAAAGACCAAAATTCACAAAACAGTGCTAAAATAGGACATCTGATTAGTCAATATGTCTAACGCTGGCTACACAGAGTGGTGACAGCAAGGTAGTCTGAGTTTAGCTTCTTACCATGCATCTTATTTCTTTTTGCTTTTGCACGGACATAATCTTCACATTAGTCACTTTTCAAAACCTGAAGGCAGGTCAGTGTCCTCTGAGAGGTGACAATCCTTTTGATTACTTTTAATTCCACCCAAAAATCCTAGGTCCTAAAGAATACTAATCCAGAGAAGCTCTGGCATCTCTGTAATGCATGCTGACTTCAGACAAGTTACTCATTACAAGTGAGGGCTTTATTCTGAGCTCTGTACCTGAGCTACAAAGGAAAGTATAAAGCAAGAGAAAAACAATCGATGGTGTTATTTTAGAATGGGAAGTTCATCACAGAAAGACTTAAAACATGTTTCAAATAATAAACAAATAGTTCACCTTGAGACCTTAAGAAATTTTCTAAATTTCTTAAGTGCTTTCTAATTTCTGGAAAGTCAAATGATTCTTTCCTGTCACACTAAAGGGGACAGATGCATTTATCAGAAGAGAAAGAAAATAGTGAGAGATTCAACTACAGAATTATCTTAAATATTTTTCTCCCCTTGATACAGAGGACAAAATGCTTGCCAAGTGTACTTTTGCATTTCAAGATGAAAACAAAAGGAAATGCAATTTTAAACGACCCAAAGTAATATATTTATATCATGCTTTATATTTTTTCTAAGAAATTTCACCATCTCTATCTACTGTTCCATATCAATAGATATATTGCATATTTTATGAAAGAGAAATCTGACAAATGACAAGTTAGGGCTCACTATGCCTTCCACAAGTACCCAGGTTATCCTCCTTCTAGTGCAGGGTCCTGCCTCAGGAATTAGATCCGGCTAAAATGGATTACAGAAGCCCATCTCCTTTTCCAGCACCTTTCCTCCTCCCCCATTACAAGATCACATCGTGTTTCTAGGACACGTATGAGTAAGAAAATATGTTGGCAATTCTACGAAAGAGAAGAAAAGGCAAGAAAGCATCACATACCCTAAGAACCAAGCATGTGAATTGAGGAAGAGTTCACACTGAAGTCACTGTTGTCATAGCCTCCGGCTCAAATCGGGCCTTACTGAGCCTTTGTCCCCCATTTTCACCACTATCAGATTTAGAAATGCTAAAGCTTCCCCGGGGTACAGGAGGTTCTTTGCTGACCCTATATCCATTCTCCCTCCTTCCTTAACAAAAGTGCCTTGGCACTGTGCCCGGTTGAAAAACTACACTTCCTAGCTTCCCTTGCAGGAAGAGGTGGCCAATGAGACATAAGGAGAAAGGGCTGGGTGGAGCTTCTGGGAATGCCCTATTGTCTGACTTTCTTTCTTGCTTGTGGCTTAAAAAGAGGGCCTGGCAGTCTGGGTAACAACAATCTCTCAAAGGAAAGTCCAAAAAAACAACAACAACAACAAAAAAACCAAAAAAATCACAAGGAACTTTCCTTAACACTCTGGAAACACTGAACCAACACCAACAACTGCCCACCTCCAGAGTGTTTATAACCTGAGAAAAATAGAGCCACATCCATTTATTTATTTTTTATTTTTTAAAAGATTTTATTTATTTATTCATGAGAGACAGAGAGAGAGAGGCAGAGGGAGAAGCAGGATCCCAAGGAGCAGAGAGCCCGATGCGGGACTCGATCCCAGGACCCCGGGATCATGACCTGAGCCGAAGGCAGACGCTTAACCATCTGAGCCACCCAGGCGCCCAGAGCCACATCCATTTAAACAACTGTAGCTAGGTCTCTTCCAGTAGATGACGCCTATCCCTAACTGATGGAACAGGCTTTGCTCAGGATCAAAGCCTAGAAGCTCCCGACGAGGATCACTGCCCCAGAGATGGCTTACGGAGGCTCCTAGAGGGGCAAGTGCCCCGTGGCAGCAAGAATTAACATCTCATCTCATGAAAAGTCTGTTTTTGACTGGCTGTAAAAGCTACGCCTAAGGCTAAAGGGATGTGATAACTCTTTTCAACCCTTTGTTAAAGATGTTCTGCAGACATGAAAACATGGAGTCTTGTTTGACAAATATAAAGCAAGAACCTAACTGCAAATATACCAACTACTGATCTATTTCAGAGTTATTCGTGGACTGAAAGGCAGAATGTATGGATGGAAGGGTGGACTGCACTCCATTTTGCTTCACTTACTGCTTTATGAATCTTGTCCATCCTAAACTGCTTGGCACAAGTTCTGTCAAAGTTATTACTCTCATGTGAGGAATGAATTGTTTGCTTATTAATTATTCACTGGTTGCCTACCAAGAACCTGGGGTTATTATAACATAACAAAAGTGGCCCAGGCTCAGAAGGATATTAAAATATACTGAAATGAAATAGACAATCATTAAATTACATTGTAATTTTTTTCACTTTTCACATTGTGATAAAATATACATTACATAAAACTCACCATTGTCACCATTTTGAAGTGCACAATGTGTGCATTGTTAAGTACATTTCACATTGTTCTCCAACCATTACCACTGTCCATCTTCAAATTGAAAGCCTATCCATTAAACACCAACTCCCCATTTCTTCTTCCCTTTGGGCCCTGGCAACCAGCATTCTACTTTCTGTCTCTACTTGACGAAATCACACAGTATTTGTCCTTTTGTGTGACTGCTTTATTTCACACAGCATGGTGTTTTTGAGGCTCATTCATGTTGCAGCCTGTGCCAGAATTTCCTTCCTTCTTTTTTTTTTTTTTTAAAGATTTTATTTATTTATTTGAGAGAGAGAGAATGAGAGAGAGCATGAGAGGGAGGAGGGTCAGAGGGAGAAGCAGACCCCCCGCTGAGCAGGGAGCCCGATGCGGGACTCGATCCTGGGACTCCAGGATCATGACCTGAGCCGAAGGCAGTCGCTTAACCAACTGAGCCACCCAGGTGCCCCGAATTTCCTTCCTTCTTAAGGCTGCATAATACTCCATTGTAGGTATGCATCACATTTTATTTATCCATTCATTCTTCAGTGGATAATTCCGTTGCTTCCACCTTTTGGCTCTAGGGAATAATGCTGCTATTCATTTTTAAAAAGATAGGGGAGGGGGGTGGGGGGATGGGTTGGCCTGGCGATGGGTATTAAAGAGGGCACGTTCTGCATGGAGCACTGGGTGTTATACACAAACAATGAATCATGGAACACTACATCAAAAACTAATGATGTAATGTATGGTAATTAACATAACATAATAAAATTTAAAAAAAAAAAAAAAAAAAAAAAAAGATAAAGCTTCACCAAAAGTCGAGGCATGGCTTTATGATGGAAAAAAATGTTTGTCAGGATCAGAAACTATGGGGGGAAGCCACATTTAGATGAAAAGCAAATTTAGGGGTATGATTCTGAATTCTAGATCTCACTGAGTACAATTCTGGAGAGGATGGGGCAGGAAATAATTAAGACATAGATGTAAAGAGGTCCTGAGGAGAAATACTTGTCAAAGTTAACCTACCCCCTAAAAGAAGATACCTGAAAACCTTCTCTCTTAAAGTCTTCAAAGCATTCTAGAACAACCCCTTCAGATTTGATTACAACCGATATGATGTAAGCACTAAGGTTAAAGAGAGCACCAGAGCTGCCCCAAAATGGCAGAGTAAAAAAAACCCAAAGATGTAAAAAGCTTAAAAATGCTAAAAGTTCCTTCAACAATAGTGTTGAGTAAAAGCACAGGACAGCATTAAGTTGTGGTTTGTATCATTCCAGTTTTCTCAGATCACAGCCACCTGTTCAACAGAGAGCTTATTAAACCAACAGTGTTCGATTAACCTATCTTTAAGTAACCTCTTCTTTATGATTTGCCCCTCAAGTCAGCATGTCCAGGTAACTAGGAAGCCATATACCCTACATATCTCTTTTCTGAGAAATGTAGGTTGTCTACTGGTCAAAAATACTCTAACAAGAGGAATAAAGATTCCCCTTAGGAATACTAAAAATGCGTAAATAAAACCTCCAAACCTATTTTATTAAACAAAAATAAACAACTCAGAGGCAATGTCTTATGGCCAGGAAAATATAACACATTTTATAACTTTGACAACTCAGACTTTCTTACTCCCTCAGGCTGTGCTTATGTTTTTAATCTGGCTGAACAGTACCTCAACTTCTTTTCCTTCACAGGCCCCAGGATGTCCTGGATTTTTAAGGAAAATCAATTAGCAAGTGAGGATTTATTGAGCATCTACCACACTATTGACCGAATAGCTGAAGGCACAGATTTCCCGAGGCACTTCTGTGTCCGTGACTTCTCCGTGATGTCTAAGGTGGAGGGTGCCACATGAGCAGCAAAGGGGATGGACAGAGAGAGACCGGCAGACGCTGCCCACCAGCCTCCCCAGGCGGGCCAATCCCAGGTACCTTTGCGGCCGCGTGAGGTGAGGCTCCTTGGTCCAAAAGCAGGAGGGCCACTTTCTGATTATCGTAATGTGCAGCTACATGCAGTGGAGTTAGCCCGCTCTGAAAACACGTGCAGAGAACAACAACCAGCGTCAAAAGTGTCTTAACAGCAGAGGCCTGGATATAGGAGATGGGGTTAGTTTGGGTTCAACACAGAGTGCAATTTACATTCCAGTTTTCCCAGTGCTTGGACCCCAGCATTCACCTCCTATGTCCAAAGGGATCTTCATCCTATGAGACTTAACTCTGGCCTAGTCCTAATTTGGGTGGCTGCTGGTGAAGGAGCAAAGGCTTGTTTGGTTACCCTGGAAGTGGCCTGTTACAGGGCGGTCAGCTCCATACCTTCCCAGCAGCATCTGGAGAGGCACTTTTCTGTAGCAGGAGATTGGCTACTTCCAGCTTCCCGTATTTCGCTGCCACATGAAGGGGAGTAAATCCTTTCTGAAATAAGAAACATAAAAATAATGAACAATAGAAATGACACAAAGACATTGCTTTCTAATGAATTATTCTAATGATGAAGCATGGTTAAGCCTGCATTGAAGGACCAACACAGGAAGATGACAGCCCGAGTCCCCTTATCAACAAGGAGGAGCAGGATATTTAATCTTTCTGTCTCTGTTGACTGAGCCACAATATGCCACTAACTCTGGGACTTCTCAGGCATCTGACCAGCGGAGAGCTGGATCTGGGGTTTATTCTAGAGCTATTTTGGCGTTTCATATTTTGGGAAGAATAGGTTCCTGGGTCCCAGGCCCAATTTGGATTTGGAGGGCTTGGGAAAATCCAGGACAAGTCTGGACCTCCCAGGATCTCACATCACCAGACTGGAGCCCTTTGTGTCTTCTTCTCCAATTTCTGCGTGTATACACATTATCTTTAGGTATGCTCTGGTCCTCAGGAGTAGAAGTCAGAGATTCTCGCATTCTAGCTAGCACAGGTGAACTGAATAATAACACATGGTTCCAGCCCAATCAATCTGCAAGAGTTGGGCACTGAGAGTTGAGTAGCTGCTCTTGCTGCCTACTCCCACAAGGATCCGGGCATCCACCAGTCAGTCCGCATCTGCTGTCATGGAGGGTCCCCAGCATGAATCAGTGCCTGGAGGGTCATCAGCATATTTGACCTCATGAGACTAACACCGACAAGAGCCAATGGGCAGCCGGCATGGCGGGAGGCCTAGGGCACTCGAAACTGCATCACTCATTACTCTGTTTCAGATATTAAATGAGATCCAGGAACTGTGCATCTCAACTCTACTGAAGAGCCTAAAGAATCTCAGGGGGTGAAGTTGGAGGCAGTCATCATGTATTCAGATAGTTTTCTACGTATTCCAATTATTGTAATCGTCTCGTGTATTGATCTCTGCATCCAAATATGAGAGCGAAAGACCCATTTCTAGCTTTCTAAGACATGCCATAGGCCGGTTCATCTTTCTATCACACTCACTAGGTTTACGTGGCATCAGCAAAAAGTGAGCTCTAAATTTTGCAACCTGCACCTGCACAGCAACCGAGTGGTAGGTTATTGCTCTGGGGCATCAGAGCTGAGATTTTAAAAATCAGACCATTCACCATACAAGACAACAGCAACAAAAGAACAACAACAAACAAAAATAACCCAAGAAAAATTCACCTCCTGATTTGAAAGTGGTTTGTATACTTGGCCTCAGTTGTAAGGAGGATGGATGTTGGGGGACACAGCAGGATTCCAAGACTCACTTTCATACCTTTGTTGTTATGGATAGAGATGCGCCATGATCCAAAAGGAATGCAGCTACATCCTCATGTCCCTCTCGGGCCGAAAGGTGGAGTGGGGTGTACCCAGAAGTCGTGGCTGCATTTGGAGATGCTCCTTGCTGCAACAGCTGTTGTACGATATCTGCCTTCCCCAGTCGGGCAGATATGTGCAGTGGGGTTTGGTCATCCTAAGCAGCAAGGTAGAAATACAAGGTGATTAGCTGAGAAAACAATGGTGACATTGTGAGACATTCAGCAAACTCTGCTTGGTATCAGAGGCTACCTTCAATTCTCTGATTCAATGCTAAAAACCATCTCATCTTTTTCTTTAACGTCCAGAAAGGTGAAGATGGTGGGTCTAAGCCCCTTCAATACCTTTCGAGTAACCTATTAGTATGAAAAGTATGAAAGGCAGTTCTGTCTATAAATTATCCCCACTAGTACCTGCCATACTTTACCAAAATTTTAACCTCCAGTGGCTCCTTTTTTGGGAGATAAGGGAATGAATCCTAGTAAAACACAAGTAACTAGAAAGGGGATTATACCTCTGCCAGCTATGAGGCCCTCATATGGAATGAATTATTTTATTGGTACCACTTTGTCATAGTCAAAAGCACAGGGGGTGCACAGGTCTACCTGCACAAAGGCTCCCAGCCCAGAGGGCTGAAAGCCAGCCCACCCTCTGCTTGTCAAGCATGGGCTAGATCTGCTTCAAGGAGAAGGGCCCCTTATTATACTTTACCCCCAGGCATGAGGCACTAAATCTTGCACCCTCAGGGTCTTATCCCCAAGGGGGAGAGGCATCTTTTCCTAGTTTGCCCAATGATGCCCTGTGGTGGCCATCCAAAGGGAAATCCCACACTTGAACGGGAAAAAGTTCAGGTAAGTACTTCCTGTAGGGAAGGTAGAGAGAAGTAGCTGGAGAACAGGAGATGGCTTTGAAAACCGAAGTAGGATGAGAGTCAAGGCCAAAGCAAGAGCATCTATGTAGGAAGTATAACAGGAATTGGGGGAGCCACCAGAAGAAGAATACTGAAACCAGAAAAAGATACTTGCCACAGAAAGATCTCCCATAACTCTCCTCCTGCTACCAAGACCACTGCACATTTGCTGAGCATCTACATGTCCCAGGCTCTGTGCTAAGTACTCCACCTACATTCATTCAGAGTCACACCAATCTTATCACTAGCAACTATCAGTATTCTCAGTTTCTGTATGAAGAAACTAGGAAAAGAAATGTGCCACAGAGATGTTAAGTTGCCCAACATTACACAGCTAGGACGTGGTGGGTCAAGATTTAGACCCAGGCAGTCTGACTGAGGAAGTCAGGTTCCGAATCATGATACATACTGCCTCCTTAACAAAATAATCACTCTAAATTTTGTCTTCCATTTCAGCTTGTGGGTGACACCATTCCCTAGGTACAATGCTTGATACGGAACCAACAACACTCAGAAAATGAGGTTTCTTGTAATCCACGGTGGAGTACAGCCTTTCTTATCCATTGCACTTTACTGATTAAGTGGATTGAACCAATCTCTTTAGATCAGGGGTGAGAAAACTACAATCCAGGGGCCAAATCCAGTTGCTGCCTGTGTTTGTAAATAAAGTTTTATTGGAACACAGACATGCCCTTCTGCTTATGCAGTATTGCCTATGGCTGCTTTTTGCTCCAGAACGTCAGAGTTGAGCAGCTGTGACTGAGATGGTGCATCTGGCAAAGCCTAAAATATTTACTCTCTGGCCCTTTATAGAAAAGGTCTCCAGATCCTCTGTAAAATCCACCAACTGGCACCACAGTATATTGGACACTCAAAGTGTGTGTCTGATGCTCAGGATGTTACAACCTCGGTGCTCATCTGCAGATTTCATGCTTACAATGATCTAGTTGTGTTTGTTCCCACACTAGTAAGTTTGTACTAGTCACCTTACTACTCTGTGCTATACTTGCTCTAATTACTTTAATTATATAACCACACAATATGTTAGCAGGTAAAACAGGAGTATGAAAAGGAAGGCTTAATTTTTCCCTAAGAATACTAAGTTGAAAGCTTTGGAGAGTGTTGACAGAAGTTGCTAAAAAACAATTGTCAAATTAGATACAGGTGAGGTGGCTAAATACATTGGGGGAATATTATAAAAGTCTAGAAATATTCTGTATACAAACTGCTTCATACATGTCTTGGTTTTCTTTCTTTCTTTTTTTTTTTTTAAGATTTTATTTATTTATTTGACAGAGACAGCAAGAGCAGGAACACAAGCAGGGGGAGTGGGAGAGGGAGAAGCAGGCTTCCCGCTGAGCAGGGAGCCTGATGTGGGACTTGATCCCAGGACCCTGGGATCATGACCTGAGCCGAAGGCAGCCGCTTAACGACTGAGCCACCCAGGCGCCCAGTCTTGGTTTTCTTTCTACTTAACTTGAAACTAGAAACTGCACACCATGGAAATAAATGTATATTTATATATGAAGGTTAAATTAAGCGGCTAAGGCGTTTACATGTTTATTTATGATTCCTGACCTGAATTGCCATTTTGATAACCAGACCAACTACCCATCTCAATAGTGACAGGTAAGTGGGTTTCTTCTGGAAGTTAAACACCAGGCAGAGAATGAAGCACTCAAACTCAACCCTGACATTCTTCTACATAAAGGCCCATCCCTGAAAGCCATTCCGATTCAAGTCTCAGGGTTTATAGCTTCACAACTTATGAAGAAAAAGTAAAAACTTCTTTTTCCTTTTATGGCTGTGACAAGTGACACAGAAGTCAACCAAAAGAGTTCAATCACGCTTCCGAATTGTGCTTGTTCTAGAAGCTTTGAGCCTAAGGCCTTCTCTGTGGAGTGCGAAGAACTCTGGACCAAGTCTCGGTTTGGTTCCACATCTGCTAGGGGCTAACAATATGCCAAGGACACAGAGTTCTTTCTGGCACAAAGTTCTTGTTCCATTTAATTTTGTCAAATAATTGAATGGACAAATGTGTTGGGGTTTTTTTTTTTTACAATATCACATGGATAGAGACTTTCATCATTATTTTATAAAAGTATTCCTGGAAGAGAGCAAGCATGTGTTTAAAGGTTGCAATTAAATCAAGGGTTTTTTCCTCAACAGCACACACTTTGATGTGTTACACGTACCTTGGCTTTAGCTTCTACCTGAGCTCCGTCTTGCACCAGATACCTCACAACTTCGGCTTGGCCAGACCGAGCCGCCATGTGCAGTGCTGTTTCTCCTCTCTGGGGGACAGGAGCCAAAGGTAATTAACTGCAGCTCTCAAGAAGGGTGGCATGTCTTATTTGCATAAAGCTTATGATGGAGGGCTTTTTTTTAGGTAAAAAATAGTCCCAAGTACTTCCTTATTGAAAATGAGGAAAGGTAGGAAATTAAATACTCAAGAAGTTCACATCCAGCTGATTCACTATCGAAGGACTGCTATAACACTGGGGAGCCCAGTCTCTGTCAGTGTCAGAAGTGTTGCTCTGTGTGGCCTCCTCAGGGCTCGAGAGCTGAATGCTCACTGGAGCCCAGCAGGAGAGGAGATGAGCGAAGGAGGGCACCTGGGGATGCTCCACAAGAGAGCCCCACGCCTCGCCCATGGGAGGCCACTGCCTCCCGATATGCGGACGGATTCAGTCGCCGTGCAGGATGCCAGCCCTGGCAGGCCACACCTTCCTATTTTTCAAAAGCAGTGGCAGTTTTGATGTATACTTCTTAAGCCTGGACCACAAAATCAGAGTTGCTCCCAGAACAAAACAAAAACCCAAATCTTCAAGGGCAACATAGACACCCCTGAGGGCCAGACTCGGCTGGGGATGGCTGGTTTGCACTCTCTGCTTTATCTCAGCACACCAGTATCCTAGTCTTTGCATAAATTGAATTCATGCTATCTATTCATTTATTTAATAAAAAATGAAAACCACATAAAAAACATGGAGAGACAGAAATAAAAAGTCACAGAAATCAAATAGATTCTCTCACACCACTGATACCCACCTACAAATTCCATTTATAAATCAAGCCTTGCTTTACAGGATATCCACCTCCTTGGCGGGATATACAAAGACACATTTCACATGTAACTTGTTACTATGTTTACTGGTAAAGCATTGGGGATAGAGTTTATCATATTATCCAGGGTCCTCTTTATGAAGTGAGTCCTTCACTCTCTGGCATTAGTAACAGAAAAGATTACCTGTCAGCTGAGAAGCTGGTCTGTTGCTATCTTGTGGATGTGTTGATTTGGGCACCAGAAGACAGAGAGCCTTACTGGAAGCCCACCCTCAGGGGAGTGTGCAGGACCTTGCGGCTGGCCCCTTCTGTGCTAGAGTGTGGTTTATTTGATTTTTACTGCTTTGGTGCTCATGAGTCCAACTAGGGTTCTTAGGCTTGCAGTCTGTTATGCTAATAACACTATGATGTCAAACTTAAAAGTCCTGTAAAATAATGTCAAATGCCACGTGTAGATCTAGCGTGAGAAATCACTTCTCTGATACTTACTCTGATATGAGTCTCATGGTTCTGCAGAGGAATGATTAGTGTGGAAAAACAATATCACCCAATAATCTATGAACATGGATTTGCTATAACCATGGGTTTGCTATAACATGGTGAAGCACACTAAAGAGAAAAATTACTTTGATTTTACTTGAAATTACAATAATGATAATTTGAAGTGCTTCCTCAACATGAAACACTTCCTAAATACTGCTATTGTAAAAAAAAAAAAAAAAAAAAAAAAATTCTTCTCCCCCCCACAAAAGCTATTTTTCAGAGCATAATGTCCAATAGTAACATATCTGTAAGGTTAATGCACACAACCCGTAAGCCCTAACAATTTGTGACCAGCTAGCAATTGAATGGATCTTGCCTTCGAAGTAAAGGAAACCAGAGGTATTCTCAAATTTTGTCCTTTTAAGCAGTCACAGTAAATAGTAATTAATTTAATTATAATAAAAAATATGTAAATAAGAGCAATCTTTACCAGTTTCTTAAATATCCATAATTGGACCTTCTTTCTTTTTTTTTTTTTTTTAAAGATTTTATTTATTTGACAGAGAGAGACACAGCGAGAGAGGGAATACAAGCAGGGGGAGTGGGAGAGGGAGAAGCAGGCTCCCGGATGAGCAGGGAGCCTGATGCGGGGCTCGATCCCAGCACCCTGGGATCATGACCTGAGCCGAAGGCAGACGCTTAATGACTGAGCCACCCAGGTGCCCCTGGACCTTCTTTCTTAAAAGGATACTTACCACATTGGTAGTGTTTGGTGAGGCTCCATGATGCATTAGTTGTGATACGATATTTACATGCCCCATGAAGGCAGCAACATGGATTGGGGTAAGGCCCGACTAGGAAGAAAAGAGTTTGAAATGTTGTGATCTTATCATAAATAGGTTTTGTCTGCCTGCCTCCCTGCCTGCTCCCCACCCACCCACCCACCCACCCACCCACCCACCTTAACATAACCACTTGAGTGATCAGATCAGAAGACATAAGGACATTGCCTATTATGGGCACAGATTCTATAAGATAATGTATCAGTACCTGATCATCATTTCCTTAAAGCAGGTTCAGTGATTATGAAAGACCTATGTCATATCCACTAAGGAAGAAAGATTTCATGTATTTTATAAAGATCCATGAGAAAAAATTAGAGAAAAATGACTTGAAGTTTTTTTGCCTTTGCTACCAAACCTTCTTTATGCATATAATTATGTGTGTGTGTGTTGGGGGTGGGGAGAGAGCGGTGTGCATGTGATTACATACATATTAGTAAAAAGTTGACTTTTATTTCAGATCTCATTTTGGCCTTTAAAAATGATTCCCATGCACTAAGAATCAACTGATTACATTATACACAAAAGAGCATGGTACTTAATGCCAACTTTCTAATAAATGAGCAAATCGGCATTAATAGCTTTAATCATTTAATTTTTTAATTTTAGGATTATAAATTAATATTTATAGTTTTATGACATGATTAAGGCAAATAATACAATGGTCACTAGACCAGACTTTAAATGTTATGTTTGTCTCAATCCTACACACACACACACACCCATAACATTTGTGCTTTTTATGTGAAATGATGCCATTTGTAATTTTTTAGAATTTCATTCCACTTGCAACATGAACATCATCATTTGGTAAAAATATTTTAAAATATTTAATATGGCTAGAAAAAGCTAATTTTTTTTTTAAAGAGAGTGAGAAGGAGATACCAATCACAACAGAAATTTGAGAAATGTCAAAAAATGTCAAAAAAATACGTGAAAGGAATTCTGCCTAATAAAAGTGAGGTAAAAGGCAGAAGAGAAAGAATTCTGGTTGCCCCGCCTTCAAATAGTGGGAACGGAGGAAACTGGAGAAAAGAACTGTGTTGTAATTTGGCACTTTCTTCCATCAGCAGGGGGAGTCATTAGAACATATATGCAGGGCCAAGCCCTCATCTCGGTCTGCCCTGCCTTTGAAAGCTCCGAGGGAGTACCTACAGGCCTGGCAGCAGTCCCTGCTCAGCGGCTGACGTCTCTGGATATTTATTCGAACATCAGTCAAAAAAATTTCATTTCAGAGCCCATTCTGACCTTTAAAAAATGGTTGCTGTGCGCTGAGAATAAGCTTTTAAAATCACAGGTGCCATAATAAAGCCATAAGAGTGATGAAAGAACACAGTAGTCTTAATATTTTCAACCACTTAATAATTCTAAAATTCTGTTACAAATCAAGGCAAATATTTCATCTGCAGATAAGAAACTGAGGCAAAGCAACGGTCACTGGGCTAGATCTCAAATTTTATATTTGCGTCCGATGCACCAGTCTTTATTGGTGCATTCAGCGACCTTTACTGGATGGCCTACACTGTGCTGCTGGCATCTACAGACCAGCGGGTCTCGGCCTGCGCTAGTGGAGCCTGGGCTTTCTTGGGGCAGGTGAGCCTAGGTCATAAGTGCTTCGATGGAAATAGGCACGGGAAGAGGCGCTCTGAGGAAGAGCTCCTAGACCAGGCCAGGGGGTGAAGGATTTCCTGGAGAGGGTGGCCCCCGATCCCACCCTGGAGCGTGTGTAGGATTAGCTGAGCAAAGCGGGGGTGACACATGCAGGGTGCAGAGATAGGGAGGTGAATGAAAGGGTGTCCAGTCTAGGGAGGTGCCACGGTTGGCATCTATGGAGACCGGGGTGCCAGGGGTGGGGCAGCGGTGGAGAGTCTGGAGGGGTGGAGGCCAAGCTCGGGTTGCTGTGCTGCAGGCTCAGCACTGGCCCTGGTGGAACATTCCTCTGAGTTCCATGTCGGTTTGTACAAAAGAAACCTGGAGCTAGTCCTCTATTAACTTCAGCAACTCTGTGTTTCATTAATTCTGAATTTTGAGAGAGAGAAAGGTTCAGTTTACAAACACGGAGAGGTGGTGGTATACAGTTTCTCAACCTTGGCACATGTGACATTTTGCGCCAGATAGTTCTTTGGTGTAGAAGGCTGGCCTGTACGCTGTAAAATATTCCGTAGCATCTGGCCTCTAGCCACTGGACACAAGTAGCACCATCTGGCTGTCGCAGCTAAAAATACCTTCAGACTTTGTTAGATGCCCCCTGGCGGGCAAAATCACCCCCAACTGAGAAGCGCTGCATGACAGGATCTCATGTAAATTATGCTTTCAGTGATGGTGCCACTCACCCTTGAGCACGGAGCGTGTGTTTTGGATGATGAGTTTGCACTCATTCCCCCCCCCATACATGTGTCTGTTCTCCGGACGTGCAGCCCCTCGGGTGAAGGGTTCAGAAAGTAATCAGTAGCAATCACATACACAGCAAAACGAGCTGTTCATGGAGGATGGCTCTGAGAGTCCAGCTGTGAAGGTACACCCTGGTGATCTGGAGAACCCCAGAAATCCTACTCCCCTCACCTCGGTTACGGCTTGGATGGATGCACCGTGTTTCAGAAGGAGTTCCATTACTTTAATTCGATTCTTCTTGCAGGCAATATGAAGAGGAGTAAAGCCATTCTGAAAGGGACAAAGACACAGAAGCATGACTGCTTTTCATGGAAATCCAATTCCTCTGAGTGTGGTAAAATGTTTGGAAAATGATGTTCTGCAAGGATTTGGAAGTAAATGAAACAAGGAGGGGTTAAACAGAATGCAGATGCTTTTCTGGAAGCGTAGGTAGTCTAGATGCTCCTAGAAATCCACAGTACTCTGGTGATCATGAACAGGAAGTGAATTTTTGTCGCAGCCTCTTGGTAGCTGAGGCAAAATGGTCATGCATTTTTTTTTTTTTTAGATTATTTTATTTTGGAATTCACTCTTCCAAATAATATGTCCCTCCCTCCTCCATCTCATTTCAAATACAGACTAAAAACAGCTGGGCCCAAACATTTGTCCTCACAGTCAAAACTTTGCCAATACCATTCAGTATTCTCTGCTGCATTTTAGGACAACTACAAGACTGGTTCTAGAATGTTTTCATCCCTTCCAGTTTTAAGGTTCAAATAGGTGCTTACTCCAAGGAAGCAGGAAACAGCCCAATGTTATTTGGATCATTTGGTTTAATATTTAATCTAATAAAGGAGTCTGCTTTTTAACAAATTACCTCCCAAATCGTACTGCCTGATAATTGAGACCACAGAGCATTTTTCAGTCGCCATAGAGAACCATCAAGTATCAGGGTCCACTATAAAAGCTTACTTCAAAGTCACTAGAGGTGTTTCCATAGCCATTCTGAGATCGTTTACCTGGCCATAGTCCATCCCAGGAGGACTGGCTACAACCTCCACATGTTGTGAAATCTTCCGAGTCAGAGGAAAATAAGAGTGAATGCCCACACCCTGTTCTAAGGCTTTTTTTTTTTTTTCTTGTATGGAAAAATGAGTCATGATTGCTAATTTCTTTTCCTCCCTTCTCAGAATTCAAAGATATGTTTGATATACTGGGCAGGTCAACAGCTCTTGAAATGCTGCTGTGGTAAAAGCTTTTAGAGTGACAATGACGGCCTGGGGTCGGAGTGCTCCTCAGTCCTCGAGTTTTGGGGCCCCAGAGCAGCTGAGGCTCTGGGGAGCCCTTCGGACAGGGAGACAGCACCAGCTGGAAAGGAACAGTGACCCTTCCTAAATCAGTTGATCAGATGAAAGGCTGTACCTCAAAATTGCTCGTCAACTCACATGTTTTCCCTAACATTTGGTGACTGTTTTTTTTCCTAAACATAGGTGCTTATTCCGAACTAAATTTAAACAGCTTACCAAATTGGGATTATTTATTTTTCCAAAGACAAAAACACTATCTCATCAAGAAAATCAAACTATAATACAGCTAGGGGTTAAAATAACAGATCATTTTAGGCGTTAAGACTACAAATCAGGCCCAAATTTTCATTTTTATCAGTAGGAAAAGGAGATGACAGGCCGTACGTTAGCTTACACGGTAAACATAACACAAAATTTCAGCTCACAAATTCCCAGACCGCTGATGTGTAAGAGAAAGTTTTTTGACCACTTTGCCTCATGTTTTTGGATCTCAGAAAAAAAATTTAATTCACATAATTATAAGTTTACCTTCAGTAAGATAAGTGTGACCATCTCAGTCTTTTTTGTACTTACACAGTCGTTGGGTCTTACTTATGTAAGATCTATCAGCCTTGTTCACGTCAGAAATAGGCCATTTCTTTAAAGGATATTTGAAATAGTTGATAGGACGTACACTTTATTTAACTAGACCTTCTGTTTTTTTACCTCCTCAAGGTAATCCCTCTCCTGTGGAGGTCACACGTTGTCAGCAAGACAACATAGGCTGGACCTGTTAGCTGAGCCACTCACCAGGGCTTTGGCATTGGGGTTCGCTTTCTTGTCCAGGAGAACCTTGGCGACTTTGTAATGGCCACAGTGGGCAGCCACGTGCAGGGCAGTCAGGTAGTCATTGGTGACGTCATCCACAGGCACGTTATGCTGGAGAAGAAGCTGCACACAGTTCAAGTGATCCCCTTGTGTGGCCATGTGCAATGGAGACAATCCATTCTGGAACACGCAAGAAAATCAGAGTTTACTGTTTTACCTTTTAAACGCAAATGTGCCAAACACAAAATACAGTACAAATGTGAAAAGGTGAAAACCTAGTTTTTCACACAGAAATACCTTCTCTTTTTTAAAAGTTTTTTTTAAGTTTCATTATTTAAATTCCAGTTAGTTAACATGTAATACTACTTTTAATTTTAAGTAAACTCTATACCACCCACGGGATCAAAGATCAAAGTCGCATGCTCTACCAACTGAGCCAGCCAGGCACCCTCTTTTTAAAAGGTTTTGATGATTGTTTTGAACTATAGCTACTTTTAAAACTAGTCCTCTCACTTCTTTTATCAGTTGAAACCAAATTTTCCAAGATAATTTCTTTTCTGATTTAAAAATAGGGTAAATTGGGGCTCCTGGGTGGCTCAGCCAGTTAAACATTCCACTCTTGATCTCAGCTCAGGTCTTGATCTTGGGGTTGTGAGTTCAAACCCCGTGCTGGGCTCCACGCTGGACGTGGAGCCTACTTAAAAAAAAAAAAAAATGTGAATTGCACTAATGTCCATTATTTATCATATTCCCAGTTAATTGGAATTTTTTTTTTTTTTTAAAGATTTTTAAGCATCTCCATTCCCCAAATGGGGCTTAAAGCCACAACCCTGAGATCAAAAGTTGCATGCTCCACCGACTGAGCCGGCAAGTCATCCCTGGAATTCTTAATATTTAAGAGGGAAAGAGGCGCCTGGGTGGCTCAGTCGTTAAGTGTCTGCCTTCGGCTCAGGTCATGGTCCCAGGGTCCTGGGATCGAGCCTCGCATCGGGCTACCTGCTCCGCGGGAAGCCTGCTTCTCCCTCTCCCACTCCCCCTGCTTGTGTTCCCTCTCTCGCTGTCTCTCTCTCTCTGTCAAAATAAATAAAATCTTAAAAAAAAAAAAAGTGAAAAAGATTTAAAAAAAAAAAAAAGAAGTAGACTGGTATTCATTACACTGGTTTTTATTTTTCCTTACAAGTTACTAACACTTGATATTGATATTATATTGATTAATAAAAAAGACCTGACGAAAACAACACATTTCATTTCGTATCAATGTAGAAATGAAATTTTCCCTCTTCCATCAATCTGGTGCCCCCCTGTGTCTGTGATGAGGAAAGGCAAGGCACTGACCAATCCATTAACTAACGCTTGCCTCCAGTTTAAATGAACTGGGTTCAATGACACAGTTAATCACGCGTGGTAGGAATAAGTAAAAAAATTCTTTAAAGAGTTGCGAGAAGAAATGAAGTGGCTCAAAGGTAAATAAAGCCTTAAAAACAGGTTGGAGGGACATTTAGCATCCAGTACTTGTTTCCCAGTGAAGGTAAAAATAAGGTATTTAGATGACAGTCCTTTCAAGCATGCTTCCTTTACATATGGAGGCAAAGTGGAGGAGCCTGGGAAATTTCTAGAGAATCCAATTATCAAGAGAGGCTCTATTAATCACTGTAACATAGTTTAACATATCCGGGGGGTGGGCAGGAAGCGAGTGCAAATTCAGTTTCCAAAAACCTTGTCATTGGTGAACTTTGAAAATAATGATGGATTAAATAGACACAGATGACACAGGGATTTCTGAATCCTCTGGGCCAAGGTATTTCCCGTAATTTATCTATAAATGATATAAAATAGGAGATCAAGATAGGAAGAAACAGTGCCAGCCTTCCCGTAGCCGCTCTCACGGTACCATTCGTTCACTGTGATATATTTCAACACAACACTAGTTGTGTTCCTTGAAAGCAAAAGGTTCATGGATTATAATTTCCCCAGATTGCCCGGCATATATAGGAAAATAAATATTCATGTAACTTTAAAGACTTCATACATGGTCGGTCAATCAGAATATTTCTGCCTAAAAAATTTCACTCTAACAGTCTGAATCAAAGTAAACACTAATGTGCAACAAAGGATGGGGACATTTCTCATTTGAGATACTGCCTCCCATGAGCATACGTACATAAGGCACTCCTTTCCTTCCTGCCAAGACATTCCTTTGCTTTATGTTTTGAACGGTGAAGTAAACAAAGAAACAAAATCTCAGAGATCAAATGACAGTCGTGGAGAGTAGAAATGGGAGGCAGTCCAACAAAAGAAGAAAATTCTCTAACAATACACAAAATAATATATGAGTAGGTAACTTATAGGTCATTGGAGAAGGAGAAGAAAGTAAAGACCATCTGCCCTAGGGAGAGGGTTCTTATTACATCCTGCTCCCTCATAAAGCTGAAAATACAGATCCAACACGACGGCTTTTCTTAGCTCAGAAAGATGAAAGCTTTAAGGAATTAAACAGATGGCCTTAAAGCCAGGAACGCATTCATTCACTTAACGTTCATTCAGGAAATGTTTCTTGGAGGTCTACTGTGTGCCAGACAATAATTTAGGTGCTTGGGGTACCGCACTGAAGGAGGCAAAATCCTTGGTTTCATTTTATCCAAGAGAGAGATAGCACACAAGAAGATAAGCTAACAAGAAGGCCTCCCTGAGAAGAAAAGATTGGACTTGAAAAATGGGTGGAGACCGCAGAGATCTGGGACAAGCTGAGGGAACTCATCTATAGGCACAGGACATGAGGACAAAGCTGGTGTATTCTGGGAAGTGGAAGCAGGCCAGCTGGCTGGAAGACGGCAGGGAGCAGAACAGGAGATAAGGCAGAGAGGTAGTCAGATGCTGGTCAGGAATTTATTAGTGCAAGAGGACTTTTCTGAACAAACATGGTATACGTGACCTATGTGTATCCATCCTTTCCCAAACTCCCAAGTGATTTAAAAGATGAAACCAGAGAGGGAGACAAACCATAAGAGACTCTTAAACTCAGGAAACGAACTGAGGGTTGCTGGAGTGATGGGGGGGTGGGAAGGATGGGGGTGCTGGGTGACGGACATTGGGGAAGGTATGTGCTATGGTGAGCGCTGTGAGTTGTGTAAGACTATTGAATCACAGACCTGTACCTCTGAAACAAATCATACATTTTGTGTTAAAAAAATTTTTTTTTAAATTTTAAAAATTAAAAAAAAAAGAGATAAATTCCACAAGGAAATACACGTGTGTGTGTGCAGGCCCACCCACATACACCCCCAAAACACACAGGAAAGGAAATAAAAACAGATGTGTGATGTCTAGAAATTTTAGAATGTGAAAAGAGGGTTTAGTGCATTAACACATCTGGCAGAAGAGAGGTGGTGGAATACTAAGTGTCTGTGAAGGGGTATCATCAGTGGTATACTAGTTAATGTTTAACAATAACAGCTCTTTGAAAAAGAAAAACCCCAATATGTGGCCTTTGCCAATCCCCATGGCGTAAAGAACCCCACCATGACCGATTTCAAGCCATCAACATGATGTCACTGAATATAGAACTGGAAAAAGATGCACACGGTAGGCTCAATGATCTGGCTCCAACATACCACTGGGTAAAATAAAGACAAGTGATTTATCTCTCAGATGCCCCGAAGGCAGGGGATATAGAAACACAGCACACCTTGGAAGATAAAGATGAGGCTTGGAGTCAAAAGCAGGATTGGTTCACCTGTGTATGGAGCTGTCAGGTTTACAAAGCCAGATGATTGTCACTTGTCCTTACAGGAAATCAGGAGTTTAGTGTCTGGAGAAATTGAAGCAGAGCGATTCTGGATGCAGGAGCCTGGGTAGAGCATGGGGCAGTGGTGAGGCTCTGGACTGAGAGCAGGTGCTCACAGAAAAAGGAAGGATGGTATGAGTATCAAGGGTGTGGTCTCTCGAGTTAGACTGCCTGGGTTCAAATCCTTGTTCTGCCATGAACTGAGCTACCTTGAGAAAGCTTTTTTATCGCTTTGGGTCTCAGTCGCCTCATCTACAAAAAGGGCCTAGTAGTAAGACTAGTGCCTCATTGTGGGGTTCAACGGGTTGATATATGTAAAGTGCTTAGAGCCTGCTATGAAGTAGACACCACGTGAACATTCGTTATCACTGTTGTGACTGGTGTATGCGTAGAGGACTGGCAGAATGACAGCCCCTTTTCCTTTTTCTGACTCTGAATGTACTGACACAGCCGTACACTGCAAAAGATTGGAGGACTCGTCTCTCAAAAAAACTGAACTTCCCAGAAAAAAGGGTAACTAACTGTGACATGGGCGACGCGTCCAACCACCACCTGATACACCGCAGTGGAGCCCTGTCTACACTGGCATAGAATTTCCACTCAAATGTCAGTGCCTGACACGGATGGTGAGGAACAGACATCTGTGGGAAACCCCCAACATGAAAGAGAGAGCCAAAGCCAACAAAGAGAAAAAAGAAACTGTGAGGAATTAGGGACAGAAGAGAGGCAGACAAAAATTAAAGAAAAGTTATCTCGAGTGTTCTCAGAAACTATATTGCATCCATTAAACAAGAACTGGATACTTTAAGAAAAGAAGTTATCAGAGAACAAGAAAATGTTCTTGCACATTACAAGCACAAAGAAAAAAAAATCAAGGAAATTCTTTGGAAAGAAAGAAAAGACAATGAGATGCGCAAAAGGGAGAAAAGACTGAGATAGCAATTTTATTTTTAGCTATGCCTTATTGTTTTGATAAAATGAAAATTAATTTTAAAATTTAAAAATTAAAAAAAAAAGATAAATTCTACAAGGGCATACACGTGTGTGTGTGCAGGCCCACCCACACACACCCCCAAACACACAGGAAAGGAAATAAAAACAGATGTGTGATGTCTATAGACATGTCTTTTTTCCACCTCTACTGCTGTCTTCCAAGCCACGTCACAACTAACTGGACCCTGCAGCAGCTTCCTTACTTGTCCCCCATCCCTCCTTGGTCCTCTCCAGCCCCATTCCCAGCGTGCAACAGTCAGAGTAGCCAGATCATATCAACTAAACCATGTCATCTGCTGCCTAAAAACCCTTGTTCTCTTAAAAATTAATTGTCTGGTCCATCTCCACTAGGGCTGTTGAGAAAACACTGACCAGAGTACTTGCGAACAGGAGTAACATGTGTTTTTGTTGTTTTGATGACATTTGGAAATAAGGCTCTTTAGAAAGCTTAATGCAGGGGGCGCCTGGGTGGCTCAGTCCTTAAGCATCTGCCTTTGGCTCAGGTCATGATCCCAGGGTCCTGAGACTGAGCCCCGCACTGGGCTCCCTGCTCCTCAGGAAGCCTGCTTCTCCCTCTCCCACTCCGCCTGCTTGTGTTCCCTCTCTTGCTGTGTCTCTCTCTGTCAAATAAATAAATAAAATCTTAAAAAAAAAAAAAAAAAAGCTTAATGCAGCTTCCAAAAATCACTGATTTGATTAATAAAAATAGTTATATCAAAATTTATTTACAAATATTCTCTTTTTAAATAGTGTCAAAATGTTTTATCAGAAAAATCCAGAAGACATTTTGTAAAACATTCATTATCACGCATTCCTTTTGCATATGTCAACTTCGCCAAAGGCCCAAGCAAGATGCCATCTTTCCAAAATTTCCAGCCTTTATCAGTTAAACAATATCTTCTTTAATAGTCTGTGAGCCCTTAAGAAATAAACCAAAGGGCTGGAGAAAGAGAGCCAGCACCCAGACTTTTGAGACTTTAGATCTTGTATTTTCTTTTGCCAATAAGCAATCATGGCTGAGTTATAAGATCAAGCATTCAGTGTTCCCAAAATAAAGCAAAAACAAGCAACACATACAAAAATGACTTTGTGGCAGAGTGCACTCCATCAAAAGGTCTCATAAACCCAAATTGATTTTGAGGTTCTCCCAAGATCTGAACTAGGCAAGTACTCTTCATTGCTAAGTTGGAACGGTATCATTTTTCTACTATTCAAAAGGCAGTTAAATAAGTTAAATAAGCAGTAAAGGGATGTAAAGCTAAATACAGTCCATGTCCAAAAACTTGGGAAGAAATTACCTTGGTTTTTGAAAGAATGGGAGCAGCTCGATCGAGCAGCATTTCCACCACCTGCTCATGACCACTCCTTGCTCCACAGTGCAGGGGCGTCAGACCATCCTGTGGAACAAAGGCAACACTTTCAGTTGGATTCGCTGGGAGATTCCGTAAATGCGGTGCATTTCTTCAGGATTCGGTGCAGCATCCAACATGCTGTGGACCTGTGACTTTAAAACATTTACTCACATATCTCAAAATAATTTCCTACTCTTAACCAGAGAACTAAATTTTTCATAAGTTTAAGTAGTTGTAAAGTGTGTAATTTCCCACATATTAGAATACTCACCATTAAAAATATAATTGTTTCACTACTTTTTCCATATCGAAAGGAATTGAAATACCATAAGTAATTTGATAGCCACCATTTTAAAAAGTAAAAAATAAACTTCTAAAATAAGAATTTGTTTTTTTTAAAAGGTCAACCTCATTTTATTTTTTTAAATTTAAATTCAATTAGCCAACATATAGTGCATCATTAGTTTCAGATGTAGAGTTCAATAATTCATCAGTCGCATATAACACCCAGTGCTCATGACATCATGTGCCCTCCTTAACGCCCATCACCCAGTTACCCCATCCCCCCACCGACCTCCCCTCCGACAACCCTCAATTTGTTTCCTAGAGTTACGAGTCTCTCATGATTTGTCTCCCTCTCTGATGACTTCCCATTCAGTTTTCCCTTCCTTTCCCTATGATCCTCTGCACTGTTTCTTATATTCCTCATATGAGTGAAACCATATAATAATTGTCTTTCTCTGATTGACTTATTTCCCTCAGCATAATACCCTCCAGTTCCATCCATGTCAATGTAAATGGTAAGTATTCATCTTTTCTGATGGCTGAGTAATATTCCATTGTATATATGTACTACATCTTCTTTATCTATTCATCTGTTGAAGGACATCTCAGCTCCTTCCACAGTTTGGCTATTGTGGAGATTGCTGCTATGAGCACTGGGGTGCATGTGGCTCTTCAGATCATTACATTTGTATCTTTGGGGTACCTAGCAGTACAATTGCTGGGTCGTAGGATAACTCTATTTTTAACTTTTTGAGGAACCTCCATACGGTTTTCCAGAGTGGCTGCACCACCTTGCATTCCCACCAACAGTGTAACAGGGTTCCCCTTTCTCCACATCCTCGCCAACATCTGTAGTTTCCTGATGTTAATTTTAGCCATTCTGACTGGTGTGAGTTGGTATCTCATTGTGGTTTTGATTTGTATTTCCCTGATGCCAAGTGATGTTGAGTATTTTTTCATGTGTCTCTTGGCCATTTGTATCTCTTCTTTGGAGAAATGTCTGTTCATGTCATATTCCCATTTCTTGACTGGATTATTAGTTTTTTGGGTGTTGGATACTAGCCCTTTATCTGATATGTCATTTGCAAATATCTTCTCCCATTCCGTAGGTTGCCTTCTAGTTTTGTTGACTGTTCCTTTGCTTGCAGAAGCTTTTTATCTTGATGAAGTCCCAATAGTTCATAAAATAGGAATTTGTAATAGGAACTTGACATTGGTCCTTTCCCTCTTGCATTTCTCTGTCCATTTCACTTCCCCTACAAAAGGAGGGAAAGAATCTCAAGCAGACTACTTGCTGAACACGGAGCCAACATGGGGCTCGATCTCATGACCCTGAGATCATGACCTGAGCAGAAACCAAGAGCTGGACACTTAACTGACTGAGCCACCCAGGCTCGGTATTTTTAATTGTGTATTTTTAATTAATTACTGTATCATATCTCTTTGTTATGAAAATATAGAAGTTAAATTTTTAAAAGTTCACAGATTTCCTGAGAACATAAGCTTTTAAAGCATCAAAAATAAATCTCCTAATTGGAGTTATTATAATTATTCAGACATAATTGGTCAAAATAGTGAAAACATTACAAATTTTATGATTATTATACAAGAGCACCAATTTATTAAAAAGTTCCTCTCTTAATGAGAAGTATGTTCTCACAACTAGTTCATGTATCTGCTAATGAATATTAGTTATTCTGGAATGAGAGAGAGACAGCATCAACACTATCCCTTTTTTTTAAAGTCAAATGCAGTCTTTTTTCTTAAAATTTTTTCTATATTTTAAAAATTCCAGTATAATTAACATACAGTGTTATATTGGTTTCAGGTAGACAATATAGTAATCTGACACTTCTATGCATTACTCAGTGCTCACCCTGATAACTGTACTCTTAATCCCCTTTATCTATTTCACCTATCCCTCTACCTACCTCCCCTCTGGTAACCATCAGTTTGTTCTCTATAGTTAAGAGTCTGTTTTTTGTTTTGTCTCTTTTCTTTGTTTTGTTTCTTAAATTCCACATATCAGTGGAATTATTGACTTATTTCACTTAGCATTATACCCTCTATATCCATCCATGTTGTTGCAAATAGCAAGATTTCATTTTTTATGGCTGAATAATATTCCACTGTGTGTGTGTGTGTGTGTGTATACATACATTTTTAAAAAAAGATTTTATTTATTCATTTGCGAGAGAGAGCACGAGCAGGGGGAGAGGCAGAAGGAGAGGGACAAGTAGACTCCCCACTGAGCAGGGAGCCTGATGTGGGGTTCAATCCCAGGACCCTGAGATCATGACCTAAGCCAAAGTCAGATGCTCAACCAACTGAGCCACCCAGGTGCCCCTATACCACATCTTCTTTATCCATTCATCTATTGATGGATACTTGGGCTGCTTCCATAATTTGGCTATTGTAAATAATGCTGCAATAAACATAGGGGTGCATGTATCTTTTCCAATTAGAGTTTTCATATTCTTTGGGTAAAGACTCAGTATGACTGGATCATACAGTGATTCTATTTTTAATTTTTTGAGGAACCTCCATACTGTCTTCCACAGTGGCTGCACCAGTTTGCATTCCTTCCAAAGTACCCAAAGGATTCTTTTCCTCCACACCCTCACCAACACTCGTTTCTTGTTTTTGATTCTAGCCATTCTGACAGGTGTGAGGTGGTATCTCATTGTAGTTTTATTTGCATTTCCCTGATGATGAGATGTTGAGCATTTTTCATGTGTCTGTTGGCCAACTGGATGTCTTTGGAGAAATGTCTGTTCATGTTTTCTGCCCATTTTTTAATTGGATTATTTGTTTTTTGGTGTTGAGGTATAAATTTTTTATATATTTTGGATACTCACCCTTTATCAGAGATATCATTTGCAAACATTTTCTCCCATCCAGTAGGTTGACTTCTAGTTTTGTTGTTTACTTTTCTATGCAGAAGTTTGTTATTTTGATGTAGTCCCAATAGTTTATTTTTGCTTTTGTTACCCTTGCCCCAGGTGATGTATCTAGAAAAATGTTGCTAGGGCCAATGTTGGAGAAATTATTGCCTGTGTTCTCTTCCAGGATTTTTATGGTTTCCAGTCTCACATTTATGCCCTTAATTTTTGAGTTTATTTTTGTGTATGTTGTAAGAAAGTAGTCCAGGTTTATTCTTCTGCATGTAGCTGTCCAGTTTTTCCAATACCATTTGTTGAAGAGACTGTATTTTTCACATTGCATATTCTTGCCTCCTTTGTCGAAGATGAATTGACCATATAATTGTGGATTTATTTCTGGGATCTCTGTTCTGTTCCATTGATATATGTGTCTAGTTTGGTGCCAGTACCATACTGTTTTGATTACTACAGCTTTGTAGGATATCTGGAAATCTGGGATTGTGATACCTTCAGTTTTTTTGTTTGTTTTTTTCTTTTTTTCTTTTTCAAGATTACTTTGGCTATTTGGGGTCTTTTGTGGTTCCAGACAAATGTTAGGATTGTTTGCTCTAGTTCTGTGAAAGATACTATTGGTATTTTGATAGGGACTGCATTAAATCCGTAGATTGCTTTGGGTAATATGGACATTTTAACAATATTTATTCTTCCAATCCATGAGCATGGAATATCTTTCCATTTGTTTGTGTTGTCTTCAATTTATTTCCTCAATGTTTTATAGTTTTCAGAGTATAGCTCTTTCACCTTCTTAGTTAAATTTATCCCTAGGAATTTTATTATTTTTGGTGCAAACACTATCCCAATGTTTGTTTTTATAAATGTTAGTGCTGAGACATCTTGTCTGCATAAATAAGTAAATGGACTTTTGTTAAAGCAGATACACTAATTCTTTGAACTCCTGAATTACATGCCAAAATAGCCTAATGTTTCACCAAAGATTTTTTTCAGTGATGCATCATAAGACAACTCTATTAGGTCCTTCATTTTTTTGGCAGCAGGATTTCTACCCATCCAATGAGCAGAAGAATTTGTTATTCGATCATTAGAGTCACATAGTTGTTAACATGACACCGATACCCTGAACTCGTCCCCTTGCTCCACTCTGTCCCCCTTTATCCCCAGGTTTTGCACCCTGGGGCCAGGTATCTGAGAGTTGGTTAGGTCTTTCTTTGGTGCTAGGGTAGAAGGACTTTCTAGATTGTATGAGCAGATCTTGAAAATAACCCTAAATATCCTAATGTATAATAGGTGAGGTACAATCCTATTTCTAACCTACCAGCCACAACCCAGAATTAAAATTCCTTAAAAAATGAAATTTGAATCACAAGCATTACATGACCTCATTTGATCATGCTGTCAGCATGTTCAAATATTCTGCCTTTTATGCTGATTTAAAACATTTGCTCTTATAAACTAAAGCAAGGTACAGATTTTTAAGTTGGAAATAGCATTTTGCTAATAAAATAGGATAAAATCAAATCTGAGAACAGATTAAAAAAAAAAAACACCATGATGTCCAAGGATCTTCCTAATAATGTAAAACCTGAACATATCTGAAGGAGAAATAATAATTACATCTACCTTCCACCACACACAAAAAAACATTCCACACAGACCCTGTCATATAGTGATTGTCTTCCATGAACTGAAAGGTCAAAACTGTTCCTTTCATTTTCTCATAAGTAGACTCTAAGACACAAGAGGTGACAGAATATGTGCAGACATGTTCAAACTATGGACGCACAGAAAAAATAATTATTTTAGCCCAACTCATTTATCCTTAAAAATTATCTTCCCCAAAGCAAACTGCTATATACTGGA